TAAAGGAGCACGTTTGCGAGCTTCATATATACCAACATCATTGATAAATACTAGATCCAGTGTTTTACCAAGACGGGTGGCAAAGTTAACAATATTGTCATGACCAAGTGATATAAGGAAGGAGCAATCGCTTCCATTGAAGTCGCCAGTTACTATTGATAAAGAGTTCTCGAAGCAAGCTGCAGCAAAAGCGGTGAATTCATCGGCGAACATAGATAAATCCAATATGGTACAGCCAGGAGAGACATAAACATTAGAAATATAAATGAATTTGTATTTTGAAATGTGTTTCGGGCGACATCTCACAGTGATGCAATCAATGAAGTCATTCGAGAATTTGAAACAAACTTTGTTAGAAATGGACCATTTTGAGTGAATAAAAGTTGCAACACCTCCACCACATTTTTTCTTGGAACAAACACGGTCTTGTCGAAAAACATTGAAATTGTTTAGAGACACAATATTGTCATCGTATGAGTCATGGAGCCAGGTTTCTTGTAGAGTGACAATACCAGTATTGTGGTAAATTTGGGACGACAACAGGGACTGAAAATCCAGAATTTTATTAGGCAGGGACCGGCAGTTGGTACTAATGATAACTGGAACAGTGGTGTGATGTATGGGTGTAGATTTTAAGGCACGCTGCCAACCTCCATGGTGCTTTTTCTTGAGTTTATTGCAAATATGAAAGTTTTTGGGTTTAAAACGTTTTATAAAATCCCGGGAGTGAATAATACGATTAGAATGCATAATATGATATGTAAACACCAATAAAATGTGAGTAAATAGATGCGAAATGTACATGGAATGTGGTAGCTATGTAGTGGCTATATGGCTGATATCGGCTTAATCATTCGATTCTCAGCCAATGGTCTTGTGTTCGAGTTCCGCATCACCTCTTTCAGCCTAGTTATTATCATCAGTTGCCACATATCAACTGTGGCTGATGACATTGTACGTGAGATATCCGTTCCGCGTAAAGCAGATGACGATGATGATGTAGCATAGCTGTTGTACCACATGGCTTCAAAATGCCAACATACTGTCAGTGAAAAGGTTGCTAGTACTCCATATCGATTGTTGTTAACAAGAAGTGTGCTCAGAAAAAGAAAGTAAAGGTTTTATTATATGCATTACTCATGAGGAAATTATTGGTAGTCATCTTTTCTTTTCTTGGATAATAGGATTTTGTGTTGTTCCGCCGTTTGAAAATGTGTGTGGAGTTCTATATAGAATATTTGCCTTAGTTATTCAATTATAAGAACACCATTCTCTTAGCTAGAATTCTGTATATGAAGAGAAATATTGCGATTAACTGAAAGTGCTGAGAATCTCTATTTATGTCCAAACCCCGAGTTTACATTTAATAGTTTGAGGAAATTTTTTTAATGTTTGGGTATATGATATTATTCATTGTTATAAGGCGGTTTCGTATTTCCTAATGAATGAGAAATTAAAACGATATTGTCGTTTTATTTACTGTAGTTTCTCCATATAATACCGCTATGACAGTTTTATCAAAGCAAGAACAACAGTTTGTGCAGAATTATGCGTTTGATAGCGATCGCTTCAACAAACTTTACAAAAATTGAATCATTTTGTATGTTGATAACTTTAAAGGATTTTGCACTCTTCCCTCCAGAAGTAGTGACAGAATCAATACGAATATGATAAGCAATTTCATTGTGTAAACACATACTGTTCTTATAATTTCATACATTTACCTCAAATCCAACAGTCTGCACATGGTTTGTTATCTTAATCAGTTCCTGGCGTAGATGCCACATACGTCTGGCTGTCGACCGAATGGCGTATGTACTACTCAGCACTCCGCTATGTCCTCCTTTATGGCTGTGAGTGAAACATGGTGATTGAAAGAAGACGTGGAAATACTAGCTGTCTTCGATCATAGGTGCCTGCGTTCTATCACCTGTGTAAAGTGGTGTAATACGGTGAGCAATATTGAGGTTAGGCATCGGTCGAGTGCTAGGTAAGGAGGGAAGAGAAATCGATAGACGAGGTTGTGAATCAGCTGCATGGATTGATATGGTTAGGAAATGTGTTACTCATGCATGCCTAGTCATCGCCTTCCTCAACAATGGGCAATGTTAGTTGACATAGGGTCAGGCTGGAAAAGAGCTAGCGGTGGCCAAACCAAAACGTGGCTTCATCAGTCAATGAAATCCACAACAGTTAGTTTAAGTCAGCCACGTAGGAAGGTGTAGACTTCCTGGTTGGGGTCCTGGGGACGGTGAAATCCAATGAAGGCTGGAAACAACTGTTGATACAGCTCAAAATCGTTCTCAATGGCTGGTGCAGATGCATCCACTCCCTGTGACTCATATTATTTATTTAAACGCATAAAAACTTGGTACAATATGGCACCAAGAGGAATGCGCCATACAAGAATAATAAAACAGCATAGATCAAAAGAAAAAAGAAAGAAGAGAAAGAAAATATATAAGTAGAGAACGGATAAAGAACTTCATCTGGAAGGAAAACAGTCATGCTTAACAAGTTCAAGCAGTATTCGTTAACTATCATCGGGAAGGGAAGAAAGGAGGATATTGCAACACGTGTAATAGCACGCGATAAGTTCCATTGATTGTTTGTTGCTTTATTCAATTCATTGTGTGAGGGCTGAGATACTGCCCGGGCGCCCAGACCGAAGTAGGTGGTTTTATTAAGGTACCACCCCGGAGCCTTTGACTTGGAGTATAATCCGCAAGGCAGCGGAGCAGCGTCAGGAGCTGCATTCCCATGGTTCCCGGTGACCCATATGGGCTCATGGGCCATTCGATCCGATTGGATACTGGAGCCCGTGTACCCCATGGTAACTGCTTTTAGTCTAACCACCATCCAAACAACCTTCCTGACACGGGAGGACCTGCAGGGACAGAGTCCCAGTCAGTTTAGCATGTTGGGTCATTACGGTATTCAAGTCCGACCACCACGACAAGGCAGCAGGTATCGGCCGGGCTGTGACTCATAATTTCCACTGAAACTATATTGTTCTTCGTTATTACTTTTCATTTGTCTCATGTCCCTGTCTACTGCTGTCTCTATTATGCTTTTCTTCTACTTTCTTCTCTTGCTTTGTGTGCTACATGGAGTGTGGCGACTTGAACTGCTTCACATCGGTTCAAAGTTCAATGTTGAAAACAGACAGACATCTTAATTAGTTCACATTCACTTGACAACGTGAAAGTTGTCTCTGGTGTATCTACCAATTTAACTGCTCCTGTGGGGCCAGTTACATAGGCCGTACAATTAGGCGTGTTTCTCATCGAATTTCCGAACATCATCCTGCGTGGTTAAGCAAAGGACAAACAATATCTATTCGCTGCGCTATTCTGTCTCATCTTGTGGATACAGAACACAAGATTGACGTTAACCATGCTTTCAGGGTCATTTACCGCATACCTACGAATCTCAATTTTGCTTTAAGAGTTCGACTACTAAATATTGCTGAGGCTGTTGGGATCCATATTAAGAAGCTTAATTTATGCATCCAAAAGTAGTTCGTTCAGACATTATCGTTACCTTGGCCATTTAGGTTTGAATGATCCTGAATTTTTGTGGAATTTTCCTAATTTTAGTTGGTATTCTATTCGCTGCTATATCTATATTTTAGTTATAATTTAAGCATCTTTAATGAACTGTAATTGCATTGATCATACTTTACAAATCGTTTTAATTTAAAGAACACTATTGTTATTGACTACTAATCTAGAATATTCTATGTATATAAACATGCATATATAATTGTAGAGCCGGAAGAGAAATTTATCGAAAAGAATATTCTTTGATCGATTATTTTGTGTTTTATAGATGTCTGAATCAATATTTTTGCTGTAATATTACTTTGATGAATGATGATGATGTTTTTAGACTCCTTTGCATTTTGCGTGGAAAATAGGATTTCAAGATTGAGCTCTGGAGTTTCGGTAGTAGTGATGTTCATATTTTTCTCAAATTATGGGAAATACCCATCGGAACATTAGAGTGAAAAGAACATAAAGTTTAGCAAAGATGGCGATCTTTTCGGCGATTTCATTCTCAAAAGCTGTACAATCGCATTTATATAGATTAGTTCACATGGATACAATTCTTATTTGTGTAATTCCACATAGCAACAAAGGTGATAATAATTTTCAACTTGATATGAAAGTTTGAAGGTAGGAATATAGATTACAAGGGGCTTAGAGACAAGATTGCATAGCATTAGAAAACAGTTACAACGTATGCAAAATAAATATTTGATAATTGGAGAAATAATTTTAAAGGCGAATAATGGTGATAATTGTTTTCAATTTGATATGAATTACAAGAGGGTTAGAGACTCAGGGATAGAACGAATTACAGGTGTGAATAAAATGAGCATGGAAACAAATTGGAATTAAAATTTTCAACTTGAAATGTAAGTTAGGAGGTGTGAATATAGATTATAGATCGCCGAAAAGGTATCTTTGCTGAACTTCTTTTTCTTTTCAATCTAATGTTCATATTTTATGGGGTGAAATTGCTAGCCTCATGCTCAACCCTCTCTCTCTCTTTGCTAGGGTATACTACCGGCTAAGCGAGGTCTAGAAGTGCGTCGGCCGGAAGTCGAACTCCGGAGGCGAGTATTCCACCAGTGAAACATCAGAGAGTACTGAACAGCAGTTCTATCCTGTTGCTTGGAATTCTTCATCAGCACTATACACCCAAGACCTTCAGATTACAAACCGAGCTCGTACACCATCCAGCTACTGATGCACTGGTGAAGCTATTAGCAACAATAAATCCCTAAGCATCAGTAAAAAACACCAATATCGTTTTGTTTTTCCATTGATTAGGAAATACAAGAGCTTTCATATTGGAGAATGTTTATTTCTCAATTTGGTTTTATATGATATTGTGAAACATGATTTAGCTATGTGTACTGCGCTCCCCTCTCCTTAAATATAATTGTTTTGAACAAATTCTCTCTCTCTGTTTTTTCTTCTTGCATTTTACAGTCGTGTTGATACAGATCTGCTGAAAAGAGCAGTAGGCGGATTATTCGACCTCTTTTCTACAGCGATCCAACGAGAACCACCATCTATCAGTTTATTAAAACGTCTTATGTCATCAATGATCCCAATCTATCGTACTGCATTATCGCGTGCTGTTAAAATTGGTATAATTGATTCTGGTGTAGCCATTGGTAGTGGTATTGGAATCACTGCCCATTCAACAGCTGATATCGCCTTGGAAACATTTCGCATCATAGCTGGACTTAAAGATGAACTTGTCCGATTAATGTTACCAATGGAAGTATCAGGGACATCACTTTTTAGTCGATATCATCATTCTCCAATCCTTCATAATGATGTCTTACGAATTCAAGCAATTAGTCTAATTGAAGTTAGTTCATGCTTCTTTTGATTCTTGTCACTTTTTTTGCGATTTGCTGTTTGTTATGTCTGTCATCAAAGTGTTAGTTACATGGATTATTATTATTATATTATATTATTATTCGCTCCCGCCAAATGTAAGATGATGTTGCAGGACTGGACTACACTGACTCCTAGCTTAGATATAGGCAGGAGTGAAGTGGTTGGCGGGGCATGTTTTGGGAAGTGCCAGTGCCAACGGGTTGATCTCTGACGAAATCTCACCACAGATACAGAAAGCTAGTTTCGCATATGCCAGTTTACGCCGTCTCTGGATTAGTAAACGCGGTATACGGTTGGCTATCGACCAAATGGCTTGTGTACTGCTCAGCAGTTCGCACCGTCCTCCTTTATGGCTGTCAGTGAGACATGGCCATTGATAGTGGAAGATATGGAAGAGAAGGCTAGCTGTCCTTGATGATAGGTGTCTGCGTTCAATCTCCCGTGTCAGGTGGTGGTGTAATAGGGTGAGCAATATTCAGGTTAGGCATCGGTCGAGTGCTGGGTAGGTAGGGAGGGTAAATCAATAGACGACGCTGTGAATCAGCCGCATGTATTGAGATGGTTAGGACATGTGTTACTCATGCATGCCTAGTCATCGCCTTCCTCGACAATGAGCAATGTTAGTTGACATAGGGTCAGGCTGGAAAAGAGCTAGCGGTGGCCAGACCAAAACATGGCTTCATCAGTCAATGAAATCCACAACAGTTAGTTTAAGTCAGCCACGTAGGAAGGTGTAGACTTCCTGGTTGGGGTCCTGGGGACGGTGAAATCCAATGAAGGCTGGAAACAACTGTTGATACAGCTCAAAATCGTTCTCAATGGCTGGTGTAGATGCATCCCCTCCTTGTGACTAGTAATATCCAATAAAACTTGGGGCACTGTGGTAGAGTATAATTCCTTTATGGATAAGATTTTATTTTGATAAAGTCACACAGTGTGCTTGTTATGCAGTAATATTAACTGATGACCACACGCTTCGAGCACAATTTATTGCCATTCATAATCATATCAAGTCAATCACACAAGCAAACAGATGATGTAGCAATGGGATGGATCACCAATATCCCCTATCGTAACAGATATTTTTATAGACAGCTGGGAAAATATTGCTCTAAATACATTTAATCCTACTCCAAAAAATAAGGTGGAGATATGTGGATGACACTTTCATAGTGATAAAAATGGAACATATATCTAGCTTCTTCACGCACACATAAGTAAAGGGAATACAATTTACATTTGAATTGAATTTTGAACAAGGAGAATTAGCCATGATGTTAGATTGTAAAATAAAGCGAACAGAAGAAGGTAAACTGTACACCAGCGTTTATAAGACACCAACATATTCTAGTAGGTATCTGGACTTTAATTCATCTCATCCGTTGTCTGTAAAGGTTGCCTTAGTTAAGTATCAAACATACTGAGCAGTAGTACTAAGTAGTACAACGAAAAACCTAAATGATGAAGTGAAACAAAGAGAAGAGGCGTTGGTGTTAAATAACTAAACTATCCTATAAAATTCATTAGAAAGATCCAAACAGGTCAAAAGCTAAACAAAAAATTGTGATGAAACTAATAATGATAACATAATTGAGAAAGAATATAAGACATCTGCTGTTATGCCATACAAGTTGGGCACATCTGAGACCCTCTCTACGTAGGATTCTTAATAAAGCAGGGATTACAGCGCCGTTCAGACCTACAAACTCACTCATGTAGGACAAGATCTGTGGGCTAAAAGACCCGGTGGACCCAACTAAACAAAGTAATATAATTTACAAAATACCTTGCAATGACTGTGAGTTAAGTCAACCACATAGGTCAAACTAGTAGATCAGGCAGCTGTAGTGAGGTTATCAGATCATAAGAATTTAGCTAAGGTTAGATTGATTGATCCCACGAAGATAAGTAATTTAGAGAAAAGTTCAGCGATCGCACTACATGCATTAACACACAATAGAGTGAGAGAGGGTGAAACTTTTAAGAAGTAATATAGGTAGATGGAGAGAGAGAGAGAGAGAGAGAGAGATTGATTACTGAATCCTGGTTCATCGAGTCTACACACTACACAAGACATGCAATAGAAGTGTCTCAACGCAAATACCAGAGATATATATGGAAGATATTATTACCACCAGTCAAATCAGAGGAGGATAATAAATAATCTTAAAATGTATTTCTTTTCACATTTTACATAACATTCCAACAAATTATTTATTTATTTAACTATAAAAACATCTTATTTCCCATCTTATTGTATTTGATTTGTAACACTAATATTATTTCCGAATGTACTCTATCTTATATTGATTTTTATTCAAATGTCTAATCAACTTCTTTCATGTATATAAATGAAGTAAAAAGTTGTGTGAGTGACTTGATATGATTATGAATGGCAATAAATTGTGCTCGAAGCGTATGGTCATCAGTTAATATTACTGCATAACAAGCACACTGTGTGACTTTATCAAAATAAAATTTTATCCATAACGGAGTTATCCAAGAAAACTACATTGTTCTCCCAGATCACTATTCTTTTTGCCTCATATTTCTGTTTATTATCTCCGTTTTGAATCTCTCTTTGCTCTCTTATCTTCCATTGTGTGCTAATTGAAGTGTGGAGACTTCAACTGCTGCATATCGGTGCAAAGGTAGGTCTACGTTGAAACCAGCCAGTCAGTCAGTCTTCGCCAGCCACTAAGAACAATGATTTTGAGGCATATCATCGATTGTCTCCAGCTTTCATTGCTCCTTACTGTTAGGAAGAGGTAAAACACATGCAATTATCAGGTCATTATCATGTCTCAATCAAGTTATTATCGCGTTATTAACAAGTCGTTGACATGCAATTGTTCCTGCTTCTGATTGGACGCTTGCACAATTCCAACTCTCAACCGGATTGGTTGATTTCGAGTCTACCTTATTTTCTGTATGAATACAGTCACTTTTGTCATAATATATGAACCTGGTTTTACCGCTGATTCTTGCGTGTTCTGCTTTACCAGTTAAGTGGGCACTGGTCAGTAGTTAAGCAGTGACCTCGTGACAAAGATCTAGCATCATAACAATTGGCGACGGGGTTTCGAATCCTTTGCAGTTCAATACAGTCAAATAAAACCCAGATCATCCAGTGGGCGTCCAGTCTGTCTTCCAAATGACAATTTCATTTGAACAAATGCAACTTCCCCTTCATCAACAACAGCAACAGTTTGAAGCTTGCCAGCTCAGCTTGATTGAAAAACTTACAAAGCAGTTTTCAATTCAAAATCTCGGCAGTTCCAACTCAGAGAAAACCGAATCTATTGGGAGTTCAATTGTAGAGTTCAATTTCGAAACTTCAACAGGCGTGACGTTTGAAGCTTGGTTTCGACGTTATGAAGATCTGTTCCGGGTTGAATGCGCTCATCTAGATGATTCGGCCAAAGTGAGACTACTCCTTCGGAAACTTGGTCCATTTTTTTTTTTTTTTTTTTTTTTTTTTATCCTACCAAAGAACTCCAGAGAACTCAACTTTGAAGAAACCGTTCAAACGTTAACCAATATTTTCGGTGAACAGTTATCTCTCTTCAGTATCCGTTACAATTGTTTCAAGATATCCAAAGATCTAGGAGATGATATTCTCACCTATGCTGGTAAGGTGAATCGTGAATGCGAGCGATCGAAAATTCGATCACTTACGGATGACCAGTTTAAATACTTGATCTTTGTCTGCGGTCTCAAATCTTCAGTTGACAGTGATATTCGTACCCGAATCCTTGCAGAGATTGAACGCAAACCGGACATGACTTTACAGGAGGTAACTGCTGGGTGCCAGAGAATCATCAATCTAAAGCATGACACGAAGTTGATTGAGGACGGTCAAGTTCATGAATTTACTTCTGTTCAGGCTGTCAAGTCAAACAATTCTCTGCAAGTCAAACACAAGCCTCCCACAAATTGTTGGTTTTGTGGATCGTGGCATTTTGGTAAATTCTGCCCGTATAAAAGACATAAATGCAGTATATGTAACAAATATGGTCACAAGGAGGGATTTTGTCCCCCAGTGAAACCCAGATCAATCCGATCTCACAATACGATGGCACAGTCACGAAAGTTTCGATCTCGGTCGACGAAACCTCAAATCAGCAGTATGTTCGCTACCTTCAAAGTTGACTTCGAGTCAAAAAGAAAGTTTGTCACACTTTATATCAATCAGAAGCCAGTTCGACTACAGTTAGATACTGCTTCTGATATCACAATCATATCTCCCCAGACGTGGCGGGCACTCGGGTGTCCACCTTATCAGAGAACGGAGCATACTGCAAGAAACGCGTCGGGTGACGTAACGAAATTATCTGGCCAGATTGAATGTGACGTAACTTTCCGGTCGACCTCGTTCCAAGGAACATGCTACATCACCAATCGTCATGATTTGAACTTGCTTGGTATTGACTGGATCGAAAAGATGAAACTCTGGGATGTTCCACTGAACTCAGTTTGTTCCAATACACAGTGCTCAGATAGTCCTACAAACATGTTGATGCATCCGAATTCGACCGCAAAGTTCATCAGTCATCTTTGCACCAAACACGCTGCCGTTTTTCAAGCGTCTTTGGGTTGCTGTACCGTACAAAAAGCCAGACTATTCCTCAAACCTGATGCCAAACCAGTTTTTAGACCAAAACACCCAGTACCGTATGCCGCATTATCGTCCCTTGATGCAGAGCTGGATCGTTTAGAAAAGTTGAACGTAATCAAGTCAGCCGATTATTCATCATGGGCAGCCCGCATAGTGGTTGTCAAGAAAGCAAACGGTACCATTTTTTTTTTTTTTTTTTTTTTTTTTTCAGAAAAAAAAACCCTTGAAGATCAACCGTGTCCACTACCAGTACCGCGAGATCTATTTGTCAAACTGAATGGTGGTAAATACTTCAGTAAACTTGATCTAGCTGAGGCATACCTACAGATCGATGTCGAAGATGATTCTAAAGAGCTTCTGACAATTAACACTCACAAAGGACTGTATCAGTTCCAGCGACTTCCATATGGTGTTAAACCTGCTCCTGCTATATTCCAACAGATAATGGATGCAATATTAGCTGGTGTATCGGGAGTGGCCGTTTACCTCGATGATATCATAGTCACAGGAGAAACTCAATTCGAACTCTCCAATCGGTTGGATAAAGTCCTGACAATACTCAGTGATTCCTGTTTCCATTTACGTCCGGATAAGTGCAATTTTTTCATGACTTCAGTGAAGTACCTGGGATTCATTTTTGACAAAGATGGTCGCAAACTCGACCCCTCCAGTGTGTCAGCAATTCAACAGATGACTGCGCCTAATAATCTCAGTACGTTGCAGTCCTTCCTGGGGATGATCAGTGACTATATTGCGTTCCTGCCAGATTTACATCGTCTCAGAGCCCCAATGAATCAGTTGCTCATGAAGAATGCTAAATGGAACTGGTCAGAAGAATGGCGACAAGCTTTCATCCAGGTCAAGAAATTACTCCAGTCTGACCTGCTGTTAACACATTACAATCCAAAGCTGGATATAACATTAGCTGCAAATGCGTCCAACTATGGTATTGGCGCTATCATTTCACATGTGTTTTCAGACGGTGTTGAAAAGCCAATAGCATATGCATCGCGAACCTTGACAAAGGTAGAGCAGAATTACAGTCAGGTCGAAAAGAAAGGATTAGCGCTCGTGTTTGGGATTCAAAAGTCCCACAAAATGCTGCTTGGCCGAAAGTTCACACATATTACTGATCACAAACCACTATTATCGATTTTTGGCTCCAAGAAAGGTATTCCAGTCTATACAGCCAATCGACTCCAACGATGGGCGACTATGCTACTAGGATACGACTTTAAGATCAAGTACAAATCTACAAAAGATTTCGGGAATGCAGATGTCCTCTCGCGTTTACTCAGCTATAACAAGCCCACAAAGGAGGACGCTGTGGTCGTCGGTGTTTCTGTCGATGAAGACGTGTGCCACATATTGATGACGGCAATAAACACTCTACCTGTCTCAGCCGACATGATTCAACGAGAGACGCAGCGTGACCCAACATTACAGTCAGTTCAACAGTATCTGCGTTGTGGCTGGCCCTCGCGTATTGACTGTCCAGATATAAAACAGTTCTATCAACGACGACATTCGTTATCCCTGGTCAATGACTGCATTATGTTTGGCGAACGTGTGGTCGTGCCTCGAAGTCTCCGACAAAAAGTCAGAAGTCAACTGCATTTTACGCATCCTGGTATTGGCCGTATGAAATCGTTGGCACGCTGTTACGTCTACCGGCCAAATATCGATCGTGAATTAGAAGTGATGGTTCGCTCATGTTCTCGCTGTGGTCAGGCTTTGAAAATGCCTATCAGGACAGACCTACAGCCGTGGCCCAGCCCAGGAAAACCGTGGTCAAGAATCCACATAGATGTTGCCGGCCCAATCAATGGCAAACAGTTCCTCGTGGCACAGTGGTTAAGACTCTCGCCGACCATGCACATGGTCCAGGGTTCGATCCTCTACCGACGCACACCTGATATCTATGGTCGGCATAAGACATTTGGGCTACCGATATCCACGCTGAAAATTCCATACTTGTACCAAAAATACAGTGTGGAATCAAGCTGTAATCAGAAATAAAAATAATAAAATAAAATATTCCAAGTGGCCGGAGGTTTTCATTATGCAAAATACCACAGTGACGATAACATTAAAGAAGTTGGTTCAGCTTTTCAGCAGATTTCGTGTCCCAGAGATCATCGTTTCCGATAACGAACCTCAGTTTGCAGCTGAACAATTCAAACAGTTTTGTGAGCGGCTAGGTGTCCAGCATATTCGCAGCCCGCCTTACCATCATCAGTCAAATGGACAAGCAGAGCGTTTTGTTGATACACTCAAGCGCGCACTTCAGAAGTCAAACGGTGAGGGATCGATAGAAGATGTATTGCACAATTTCCTCTTCATTTATCACTTTTGTCATAATAAATGAACCCGGTTTTACCGTTGATTCTCGCGTGTTCTGCTTCGCCAGTTAAGTGGGCACTGGTCAGTAGTTAAGCAGTGACCTCATGACAAAAGATCTAACATCATAACACTTACCACCATCCTGAAGATCCCAACCAACCGGAAAGCTAGTCGACGCCTCCCTACGTGGCTGGATGGCTGGCTTAAACTAACTTTTATGTATTTCACTGACTGACAAAGCCCTGCCTTGGTTTGACCACCACTAATAGCTCTTTTACAACCTGATATATCCTATGTCAGTCAGCTAACATTTAGCGTTGAGGAAGGTGATAGCTTGTCGTATGTAGCACATATCCTAACCATCGATTGATTTTCTCTCTTTACCTAAAACTCATCTGAAGGCTGACCTCAATATTACTCGCCTTATTACACCTATCACCTAACACAGGGGATAGAACGGAGACACCACCTATGATCAAAGATTTGAGTGTAACATAGGGTTTCAGTAGCAAAATGTGTAGACGTAAAATGATTGGATTAATAGACAATTAAAACATTACGTAACACATTATAAAGAAACATGTTCATCTCTCTACGCCTAGAGTGTCAACAGGGACCGCACATACTTCTTTTTACCCGAAGGCCTGACATGAGTTCATGAATGATCAGGGGGTCCGTTGTCTTTAGAAGCTTAAAATGAAGAAAAGGTGGCAAGTTAGCCTGGATTGGATAGATGATCTTAAACTCAGCTGGTGTAAGTAGAATGACAGAAGTCGACCAAGCTTCGCACTCCGTTGTGAAGAAATACTGGAATGTGTTCTCTTATCGGTGTAGAAAGCATTGTCTAGCCACAATCTAGTTACTCTGCTCCACAAGATCAGGTGGACTGGTAGATGCACATGCAGGCGATCAGACAAGGGTGCTTATCTTTTACAGAGACAAATTACAACTTACGACTGGTGAATGTCATTTGTAATTTTCCAGTAGAGAACGTTTTACTGACTGATATAGACCGACGATATTTGAACATACCTGAAGCTTGATGATCATCACTTTTAAATTCCAAATCCATGAGTATGGTTTTCTTTGGAACTGAGCCAGTGACCTGTTTGGATTGCTTATCTTTCGTGTCTTTGTCAATAAATCGGCTCGAGTAACAATTTCCTTTGAGTGTGGCTCTTAGAAAGAAAGTTCTGAGTCAACACAATCAGAACTACAAATGTTTCTTGTGCTTAAACAGAACTAGTGGACTAAGTTCCTTTTCTTGGTGATAGGCAACCAACTATAAAAATCAGTTAGTTTTCCATTCGATGTACGATTCCTGTGGATGGATCTTTTGGAGAGATCTGTCATTACGTGTACTAAGGCACACATTAAGAAAATGGTATGCTTAGTTCAAATTCCTTTTCTGTGGTGAATTGCAGAGAGGAATGGCAATTGTTGAACACAAATGAGATATCATCAACAGCTACGTTCTTATCGCAGATAACGAAAGTATCGCCTACGTAGCTTCTATAAAAGTCAAAGCGACTGGCGGTCCAAATAAGTTTTCATGCCTTCCCATAAAAAAATCAGTCATCAGTTGATCCAGTGGTGATCCCATCGTAATACCATCTCTCTGTCTAAAAACCTCATTATTGAAACCAAACTGAACGTTGGACGTCTATCTTAATAAGAGCTCATTGAGGTAGGATGTTAGCAACCTTATGTTTGTGAACCGTGTGCAGAAATACTAATCATACTTCAAATGACAGTTTCAGTATTCATACTTTTATTAAAATTTTCTCACGAGGTATAGTTTGATAATAAATTCATTGAAAAGAGTTTCCTCGTTGTATACTGTGTTCTTAATAGTCCATTAGTTATAATAATTAAAAAAATATGCGTAATACTCTATATGTTGTTATTCCTTTTTCAGTGTGTAATTATTTTACACTCACGTCGACTACCAAACTCTGAAATTCCACCTGCCAATGAAGGTGATATATCCTTAGATCAGATACCAGCGCTTACAGATACCCAGTTAAAGTCAATCTTAGAGGAGAGTACAGCTGCTTCATCAGCTACTCTTCTTCCCGGTGTTTGTTTAGTTAGACCGCATCGATTGGCGGAGGAAGCTGAACGTTTATTTGCAGGTTTATCAAGTTGGCCGGTGCGTGGAAAGCCTAGTGTTACTGCAGGATCAATTACTTGCCCAGTAGTTAAAGCAGTAATGGATTCATTAGTGAATATTGCAAAACAAAGACCACAATTTATGGATCGTGTTGTACAAGCATTTGAAACAGTTCATGGTAATTATTTATTCTGTATTAAGTTATTTACTATTGATTGTTTCCTTGGGTTCTGAGTGGAACATTAGACTCCAACAGTACATTTCTATTTTGTCATGTTCTCTGCAGTCCTCTTCAACTGACCACACGACTACTCATAAGCTTTCATCGATTTGCATGATCTCCTACGTGTCATCTATGAGCGATGACCTGGCAAGCGATGTCATTGGACGGTCTCCTCAGCATGTATCCTTGTGTCCATCTACACTATCTTCTACACATTTGTTGAACAGTAGGTTCCTGATTGGTTCGTTCCCAGAATTTCTGGTTACTAATTCTTTCTGGTCAGTCATTTGATCTTCAGTAAGGAGCCAATGAGGAAACACTACGTGACATCACTGAGGAACCATGCGTGGAAGACCACTGGAACTCTCTGAAGGCGATTTTCGACGAAACGTGTTCAACGATTTTAGGAAGAAAGAATAGACGAGACAAGGAATGGCTCTCAATGAACACTTGGAAGCTAATAGAAGACAGGAGAATGGTGAAAGAGAAAATGATTCAATGAAAAGACGGAGAAGAGAAAGAGACACTGAGCTCAACTTACACAGCACTGGACAAAGAAGTGAAGAAGAGTGCTAGGAAGGACAAAAGACAATTTTACGACAACCTCACCACTGAAGCTGAAAAGGCAGCAGGCAAAACGGACCAGAGGACACTATATCAGATAACCAAGTCTCTATCCGGGAAGAGATCAACACAAGTGAAACCTATAAAAGACAGCCGACGGAACCCAATTACCAAGGAAGAAAAACATTAAACAATGGGTGGATCACTTCAAAGGACTCTTGAACTGACCACCACCTACAACCCGTCCAGAAATGCCAACAACAGCACGTACACAACCGCAAGTTGACACCAATCCTCCAACGAGAGTTGAAGTCTTGAATGCAATCAAGCTTCTGAAAGCTGAAAAAGCACCCGGACCAGATGGAATACCCCCTGAAGCACTGAAAGCGGACCCAGAGACGACAGCAGATATGCTGACTCCATTATTGCAAAAGGTCTGGAAGGAGGGAAAGGTGCCTACTGACTGGAGGAAAGGTCACCTCGTGAAAATACCAAAGAAGGGCGACTTAGGACTCTGCAAGAACTGGCGAGGAATCATGCTCCCGTCGACGCCAAGTAAAATCCCGACTCGCATCATCTTGGAGAGATTAACGGACGCACTGGAGACAGAACTCCGACCAGAAAAAGCTGGCTGCATTCAGGAAAGGCAAATCATGTTCTGACCAAATTGCAATTCCAAGCATCATCATCACAGAACAAAGCATGGAATCACGATCAAACCTCTACCTCAACTTTATAGACTTTGAGAAGGCCTTCGACAGCCAGCGTTGACCGTGAAGTAATTTAGAAACTACTTTAATACTACGGCGTACCCTCAATATTCATCAACCTTATTCAACAGCTGTACGACAACGGCACATGTCAAGTGATCCACAACGGAAAACTCAGCGAGGTGTTTGGAGTAAACACAAGAGTCAGACAAGGGTGCTTATTATCGCCAGTAATATTCCTAATCGTGGTGGACTGGATTACGCGTCAGACAGTGAGTGGGGAACTAGAAGACAGGGATATCCTGGACTGACCGACGTGAAGAAGCTAGAAGACCTGGATTTCGCTTGTGGATGATTTATGTTTGATGTCACACAAAATCGAAGACCAAGAAGCGAAAACTGACAAACTGGTCGAAGAAGCAGCCGGCGAAGACAGGACTCCATGTGAACATAGACAAGACGGAGCTTGTGAAAATAACCAACCAGCAACAGCGACATTCAACGGGAGGGATTTGAAAGAAGTTACTTCATTCACTTATATAGGGAGCATTATCTCAACTACACGCAGTCGGAACGGACGAGGATGTCAAATCGAGAATCGAATCGGGAAGGCGAGAAACACATTCACTCATCAACCTGAAACCAATCTGGAAATCTTCGTCACTCAGCACCAACAACAAAATTCGGTCGGATTTTCAATACAAACGTCAAGTCAGTCAGTTCTTCTATACGGATCAGAAACTTGGCGGGCTGGTCACAAAGAATATTTCCAAAAGGTTGCAGACATTTATTAACAACTGTCTTCGCTCTATACTGAAGATCAGATGGCCGGAAAGAATCACCAACAAGGAACTATGGGAAGAAACAAAACAAGAACCAATCGCCGACCAACAAATATGCAGGAGAAAGTGGATATAGATTGGACACTCTCTGAGGAGACCACCGCTGGGTAACATCGCGCGCGCGTCAAGCCATTGCTCGAGTGGAACCCGAGAGGGAAGCGGCGAGTGGGACGTCAGTGCGAGGGTGACATGGAGGAGATCGTGTGAAGAGGAGTTGAAAGAGTACGGACTAACATGGATGCTGGTGAAAAGTACAGCAGAAGACAGAAGCAAGTGAAGACATGCAGTTGAAGCCCAAGGGAACAATAATAATAAATAATAAGGAGCCAATAAAGGTGACAGCTGTTGATAAAAGTCTGTAGCTTGTTAGGAATACTTATCGTGATGCTCCAAGTTTCTGATGATCTGTATAGAAGAACTGACTGACTTAACATTGCTGTTAAAAATCCGATTTCCAAACTGGTTTCAAATCGATGCAGACGTATTTTGTCTTTCCCAATCTGGCTAGGCTTTGACATAAACTGACAGCGGTCAGAGAATGTGAGGAGGAATAATCGCCCCGATGACATTCACTAGTAGTCGCGCCATATCATGAATTGACAGAAGTTGGAATTCATCCGGTGACCATTCGATATTATCCCAGTGGCTTAATGGTCTACAAGGTCGCGTTGTAACCAGTGGGTGAGTAATGCCGAAGAGCCCCGAACTAGGGCGAAACAACTGTCCAGTACTCATAAGTTTTCTCCCAATGATCCTCTAACTGAAGGTAAAAGAAGTTGTGTAGTGTCGATTCTCCAATTCTACTGTTAAATCAGGACTAAGTCATTTTCGGTAGCCTGGTACGGACTTTCATCAATAACTGCCTTCACTGGCCTAATACTGAAGATCATCAGATAACCGGGTGGGGAAAAATAAGCAGCTAATGATAGATAAGCTTTAATGAGATTTAGACAGAAGTGGGGATTTTTTTCGAAGTGACTAAGGGTGAATTCATTCTGTTATTCTCAAAGTGCTTTTATGCCTTTGTAATTTTATAGTTTGTCGAAAAAATATGTCTACTAGATGTACTTAGCACATTTTCTTACACAAGTGATTTCTCTTTACTTGTCATTGGATTGTGTGTGGGTAGGGAGGCAGTTTCATTTGGGAGAGTTGGTGTTAATAAATTCAAGGATTGAATAACCGATTAAAAATGCCAATAAAAATTTATAAAAGAATGGTTACTGAACAAAGAATATTCTTTTCGGTGACTTCATAATCAGGTTCTACAATTATATGCATTCATAATAGTGAGTGAATTAGTGTTACTAACAAAATTAATGTTGTTTAAATACCATCGAATCAATAACAATAATAATACCAGTAGATTACAGTTCGACGGCATCAACATAATACTACACACTGAATATCAGAAGAATTAGGAAAAATAATAATACCAATTTATTGAATTTATAATCTCCACTGAAGGCCGGCAAGGGCAGTCGTAGTGGCTGGCTGAATTTTATTATTTTATTTTTGATTACAGCTTGATTCCACACTGTATTTTTGGTACAAGTATGGAATTTTCAGCATGGATATCGGTAGCCCAAATTTCTCAGGCCGACCATAGGATATCAGGTGTGCGTCGGTAGAGGATCGAACCTCGGACCATGTGCATGGTCGGCGAGAGTCCTAGCCACTGTGCCACCATCGCAGAAGCATTGAAAACCAGGAAGTACTGGACAGCTGCTGTCTCATCCTAGTTTGGGGATCATCGGCAGTACGCACCCACTGGGATTCGAACCCCAGGACCTTCCGGTTAGAAGGCGAGCTCGTATACCATTCAGCCACTGGGACCCACATGCAACGTACTATTCGAAATAAACCACTGCATAGGACATTTTTACTTCTACCAACTGCTCATATGATTCAAGAGTATAGAAAAGCATTTTAATTCAAATGGAAAAATGAACTTGCTTCTTCTGTACACAAAGCACTGGTTGTTTCACGTGAATCGCGATAGCCCCAGCTGCTTGGAGTATGAGGTACCTGGATGTTTTTGGCAATTTATTTGGTACCCGGTAGATGATGATAGAGAAGGATTCTTCAATGCTGGCTGGCTTTGCGGCCGGTTTGAACCAGGTGGTCTAATATCGAACTGTTGATGATGGTTTTTACTACACCTTTACTTAGCCATACTGGGAGATGTTCTCGAGCACGGAAAGTCAAGTTCCTCGAGCAACGGCCAATATAAATCGTTCCACAAGCGCAGTCTAGTTATTTTATCTTCCAATTGAGGAATCATAACCGGTCGTGTAGAAAATGTGACTTGTAGTTTACCAGCATTAAAGGTTCGTTGAACAGGTTTTTTTAACGTGTTAGTAATTGTTTCACTGGGCACGTCGCCCTTGAATTACAGTTGTGTGTATAAAGACGTCTTATTTACAGATGGAGAATAGTCCTTTTCTGCTTTTTTGGTCATGTGTTTCTTGATGAACTTTTCTAGATAGCTATTTTCAGTTAGGGTATCATACACAATCCTTAGTTAATCTTCAGTAACCTCTTCTGAGCAGATAGCTCTAACCAGGTGGCTGAGGGTCCCTACTAAATTTCTTTTCTACTGGCGAGGAACAAAGTTGTGAAAATGTGCATATTGTCTTGTCCATGTGCTTTTCCTATGCAAATTTATCTCTATACTACCATCTGCTTTTCTTGTAATGAGGACATCTAGGAAGGCAATTCATTCTGTTTTGGGTTTCCTCTTCGTACGTGAATTCCATAGCAGAACATATTTCATTGAATTCAGTTATTATTGTGTTCCTATCCTAAGCGTTATCAGAAAGAATAAGGGTGTCATCCATACACCTACTAGAAATCATTGAAATTCGACTTTAAATGTTATTCTACTATCCTGTAAACTAGATTTCAAGTCAAAAGCGCTTGAGAAGTGTGGCCACATGGGAAATGCTTGCTCTTCTAACTGAGGTACATGAAACAAATCTTTCAGAAACCAGGTTGTCATGGATACTTCTAGTATGGGAGCTGGTGATACCTGCCCAGTTGACTTGGTTTGAAAAAGATGAGGTGGGATTTGAGATCCAATATCCATTGACTGAAAGTTGGTTGTTTAAGCCAGTGAGTCATGTCGCCACTAATAATAGTTGATGATCGGAGGGCAAATGAAAATCTGAGTCGGTGCAGGAATCAAACCGATGACTTTTAAACTACTAGTCCTTTACTGAATCAGATGAATTACCCGACCCAACCACCTGGTACTTGTGGTGTGTTTCTTTGCACTCGTTCCTATCAAATTTATATTTGGATAAACAGGTATTACTGTATACTGACAGACGGACTGACTGGTTTTCAAACAGAACTTTGCACAGATGTGCAGCAGTTCCAGTCGCCACACTCTATGCAGCACACAAAGGAAGAGAACAGAGTAAAGAGTTGTTCAAAGGAGAGATAATAAACAGAAGTGTGAGTGAGGGAAAAAGAATAGTAATGTGAGAGAGTAGAGTGGAGTCTTATTGGATGTGGTAAATCACAAAGAGTGAATGCACCTGTACCATTGAGAATGGTATTTAGCCATATCACCGATTGTCTCCAACCGTCATTGGTTCTTTCCACCATTCTGAGGACTCCAGCCAGCCAAGAAGTCTACATCTACCTACGAGGATGGCTGGTTTAAACTAACTGTTATGGATTTCATTGGTTGATGCGGCCATGTTTTGGTTTGACCACTCCTAGTAGCTCTTTTCCAACCTCATCGATCCTTTGTCAGCTAACATTGACTGTCAGTCAAGAAAGGCGATGGCATTACTGTATACGCTCTCATTATTCACCTCTGTTTGAAGTTTTTCAATTGAGTAAATGTCATAATCGATTTAATCTCTTCTCAAATTACCATGTATTATTTTGCTTTTGTTTTTAGCAACCTTACCACCTCATTTCTCACATAATCAAGTTAGTTACCTAAGAAAAAAGTTAAAAAATGGTTTACTACAATTATTACCACATCCAGAGGTTGTATCAAATTTACAAGGGCGCATCACCATTTTGCTAACTGATCTGGGTGCTACTCAGGCAGAGGTAAGTGCAGCTTTAACGGTTCCTTGTGGTTATATAATTCAAGTATGTTCCATTCCCTTACATTTTGAGTAGAACATATAGAGGACTCTTCAAGCCTGAGTCTTGAATTTTCAGCAGTTGTGGTGGTTGTTTTTAAGGCATGAGTTGTCTAATGTTGCTCACACCCCAATCATTTCCTCTTTACCGGGTTTATTGCCCGCTAACCGAGACTCAAGAGATGCTTCGATGCACCGAAGAATCAATCAACTTCCACGGTGTGGGCAGCTGGGAAGTAAAAGCTGCTCACACACTTTCAAAATCACACGCAGCCCTCCTGAGCATCATCGAAGGTAGGGAAATCAAACCATAGATGGCGTACATGGATTGGTAAGCATTGGTATCATCATAAGTCCCTTAAACGTCGAATGTATGACTCATAGGTGCTGGGTTACTGAGCTTGGGTTCCGAGTGGAATATAGGGCTTCAACAACACATCTCCACTTTGTTGTATTTGATAATATCCTCTTCAGCTGGGTCCACGGTTGACTATAACCTCTCATCTCCTCCTCCCCTAACGGTCTCCTTCATGTCACCCTCACACCGACCACCTACTCATCGCTGCCCACTCGGATTCCACTGAAGCAATGTCCTCCTTTGCGCGCGATGTCATTCGATGGTCTCCTCACTGTATGCCCAATCAATCTATCTCCATTTTCTCCTACATATCTGTTGAGCAATCGGCTTTTGGCTGGTTGGCCATTCGATCTTCAGTATGGAGCCGGCGAAAGTTGCAGCTGTTGATAAAGGTCTTTGACTTGTTGGAAATGCTTTTCTTGACGCGCACTGACCAATTTTCTGACCCATATAGAAGAACTGACTGACTTCACATTTGCTGTCAGCATTTCCAATGCACAGACAGTATTTAGTTAACAGGATGTCTAGGTGGACAATCTTTTCTACATATGAACTCAACACTTTTCTCATGTACTATTATAGAGGGTTCATCATAACTAAATCATTGAGTTGGAATCAAATTTTTTTAGTAGCCTTAACGTTTTCCAGCTATACAAAAGACTAAGTAACATTTCTAATAATGTAAACAAGTTTACATGTATGAAGGCTTGATGATTGATTAGTTGAGGTGGAACTGTTTAGAAGAAGCAGTTGACTTTCAGCCAATGACTCTGGGGTTCGAACCCTGCTCCACGTAATTCAGACTAAGGAGCAACTAAGTAGTATTATAACAACAGAAGATAAGGGCCAGGCAACAGATCATCTATATGCTAACTGTATCCGCTTACGCAAATGTGCTGTGGTTGGTTGTTGAATCAGTCTTTGTTCTTATTTTTCTCACGACCAATATTGGGGATGTAAACATTGACGTAAATTACTGTCTACCAATTTGACTACCAGCCAGCTCTCACCACAATATCATCATTAGCCCTTACAGCCTAACATGTGTGTTTGAAACAACCAACTGAGGTAATAAAATTGGATTTAATGAGTCCACCAAATTTCGACAGAACTCGTCAGCTGAATACTCTACATACATATATATATATATTATTGAAATTACATTAGGAGATATAAGACTGATAAGTGAGCAAACTACATTGAATTAGTCATGCAGAAAGATACGTGCAAATGTTTTCCAGGACATGTTCAAATAGATAAGGGAGAGGGAGTATGAGAGATTAAAACTAAGATAAATTCCTTTACGCTTCAATTACATCACTTAGATAAACAATTAGTCATTAGAGAATATATCAAGAATTGCAAACAGAGTAATATCAGTACTAATATTTGTAATAATAATAATGTTGGAGTGAGTTAAGATAATGCTACTGATAAAGGATAGTTTTAAATGAATCAATAATGATAATAATGAGGAAGAATAATAAGTAAAACGTATAACCATGGTAGATTCAGAGTGACGGTCATCTCCTTTTGTACACAGAGACGTGGTTTATAAACTCGAATAGAGCAAGCCTACTCCTCAGTTGCAAGCATCTTCTTGTTTCTTTGTCTGATGACAATAGCACTGAATGCTTTTACAGCGTCGATATCATGTCCATAGTCCACATGGTGTTTTGTTATTGAGGTTTTTAGCACTTTGCATTCAGGTGTTTTCAACCATTTTGGCAAATACTCCATCATGCGATGAGTAGACAATCGCCTTTCTGTACGACCTATGTATTTGCTTCCAAAAACACACTCAAATTTGTGTGTGTGTGGCTGACAACCCCAGATACTGCATAACTGAGTCCTAGTTAACTGATAATCTTTATGATTACTGTCCTGTTTTTGTTTTTAATATGTTAAAATATGCTAACTCCGCCACCCCTTTCTTACCTGCATTTTATTTTCCACCTTTAAGGCATTACAAGCATTGCAAAGTCATACAGAATTATCACGTTCACGTCTTTATCCAGATCCAAGTAAATTTATGGTTAGCTGTACAGAACCAGATCATGGTGATGTTGACATGCGACAGGAACTTTTTCACCAACAATCAATACCTCAGGTTACACAAGCTTCTTCATCCACTGTTGTCTTTAGAACAACTCATCTAAGTAATATACCGCCAACTGATATTAAACTATCCTTCAGTAATAGTCAGTCAAAAGGTACTCGGTCAACAACAACAGCAACACCATCGACAACTCCAGTAACCATTTCTACTACACTATCTTCTACAGATTCTGCCAAGGTACAGATAGAGTCAACACCAAGTCAAAAATATGTGCCGACAACTTCTGGTGGATTCACATTAGCTGAGGTTAGTTTTACTTAGAAAAGCGAATGATGTATATTTATTTGTTTAGATATTTTGTTGAGTGTATTTTGTTTTGTGATTAGTATTCCCACTTTCTTGTGTATGTGTGTACGTGTGTGTTGAGACGTCGTTCATTGTTTTAAGCAACGGATTTTCAGCCCAATGGGTTTTGGGTTAGAACCCTGCGTCGTCTTTTTTAGCTCTAGGTAACTTGTGAGTAGTATGGTATCATCAGCTGTCACTGAATAAATGTGACTTGTCGCCTAGGATCAGTCCTCTCCGTCCTCCATTGAGAGTGGAAGACATCAAAAGGCTGGCTGGCTAGCTGTCTTTCATTATAGGTGCCTACGTTCAATCTCCCACACAAAAGGTTCACATGGCATTTTTCAACATATGTCATCTTTGACATAGACGCGATATCCAGCTATCTTTTCAATTCAGTTAAACTTCCCATTGGGACATATAGAAAATCATAACAAGTCATTCGGCGAAGAGACTCTTTTTAATGAATTTATTATCAAGCTGTACAATCGTGTATATATGGTTCTTAAGAAGTTATATCCGGTGAGAGAATTGAATCATAGGTGTGAATGCATGAAATATTAATAGTAGTATGAAATGCAATTAAAATTAAAATGTTTGTGATTATAATCATAGTTAATTGTCAAGTGGAAAAACAATTAATGTCATAGATGGAATAATTCATAGGATGAGTAGAACTTGGAATGGGTGTGCAATTATAGGATTAGTAGGCAAGTAGAATCAGATTAACAACGTTATGTAACATTATGTGAAGTTTAACAAAATAGAATTTAACGTTACAAAACAAAAATTGATTTAGAATGACACGTGGGCCTAATGAACTAATGCCGGAGACAGTTCAAAGTGAGAATATTAATAGCAACAACTGACACATAACAAAGGAAGAGTATACGAAATGAATAAACATAACGAAAAATAACTACAGCACAAATATGGATGGGGATTATCATACTTAAGCATAGGTGGATTAAGACAATGGGAGTTGGAGAGGTTGAACAAAGTTTTCCTGCATACAGAGATCTGACTTTTCTATTTCGATGACCAGAGCTGCTTCAGCAATCCAGTTGAGTAGGATACGTAATGATTTGAGCAAATTACTTTTCACCATGTAGATGACTTTAAAGGTGGAGGCTGTAAAGATAGGATGATCATTATCGACCAGGTGTTCAATGGTCGCGCTTCTTATAGCTCCACATCCACCTCTTCGTAACCGTACAGGATGGTGTTCTTGCATCCTCTTGGACAAAACCCGAGCCGAACGACCAATACACCTAGTTCCGTACGAGCAGGTGAATTGATAAACGCACGTATGATTGAAATCCCTCACCGGATATAACTTCTTGAAAACCATATATATATATATATATATATACGAATGTACAGCTTGATAATACATTCGTTGAAAAGAGTCTCTTCTCTGAATCACCACTTGTTTTGATTTCCTGTATCCAGCTATCGATCAAAACATGTGTGTACTGTGCAGTAGTCCTCTCTATCCTCCTTTATGTCTGTGAGACAAAACCATTGAAGGTGGATGATATGAAGACATCAGTTGTATTTGATCACAGATGCTTGGATTCTATTCCATGTGGTATAATATTGTGAGTAATAATAATTTGAGGCGTTAAAGGGCTATGTAGGAAACGGCAATTGAATCGATGAAGCTGGGAAGCTACATCGATTAAGGTGGTTGGGACATGTGTACTGCACAAGCCGAAACACTATTTTCCTCGGAAAGCAACTTTGGCCTGACATAAAGATAATTAAATTGGGAGAGTTAGGGGTGGTCAAACCAAAAGTTGGAATGTCGATAAAAGGACTTTAACCGACGTGGGTTTCAACCAGCCACATTGTTAGGGTCCTCAAAATGCTAGGGATCAATAACTTGATACTGTTGGTGATATTTCGGTGTTAGCTGTCTGCTAGCCAAAATTGTAGACAAATATTTACGTCAATGTTTACGTCGCGAGTCGGGGTCATGACAAAAAAAACAATAACAAAGCTTAACCTAGGTGAACTCAACAACCAGTCACAGCAGACTTAATGTGTGCAAATACGATTCGCAGATATATAGCCTGACTTTCTAAGAAACGGCCACAAAGAGATGACGGAATAACCTTGAGCAAGAAAACAATTAACCAGAAGACGGTGCTTCTCTGCTAACAATATCACTTATACTAATGTACATGAAAATCTATAAATATCTCTTGATTTTCTCAATAAATGATCTGTTACCTGACCCTCGTCTTCTGTCGTAACAATATGACTCAAAACTGTTCTGTCAGTGGTGCAGATGCTCATTCACTCTCTGTGATCTCCATATCCTCTTCTTTAAGATAAGACAATAGCTCTATTCCAAAACAGTACTTGGGATACAGAATGGAATTCCCAGCATTTTACTACAATATTGCATCCAGTTAGTACATTAACAATAAATAAAGTTCTACATAGATTAAGGTTACCTCAGTTGGTTTTGACAAAATATTAGCATGTCGGTAGCAAAGCCAAAATTAAACAGAGTGTTAGAAGGTGTTGGAAAAGTAGGTTCTAGCATATTTACTGGCGTAAACAGAAAGAAAGAAAGAAAGCAGCACATAACAGAAAAAAAGAGAGAGAGAAAGGGAAAAGAAAAAAAGATAACGTTGTACCTATAAATGATTTGAGTTGGAAAGACGAGATCCAGTTGTTCTACTGACTATTCAATAAGTTAAAGGTTTCATGCCTAATGCTTTCTTTATCGCACAGAACACGAGCTAAGTAGGGTATGGATGAATTGCATTACGCTTCAGTTACATCGCGTAGATAAACAATTAGTCATTAGAGAATATATCAAGAATTGCAAACAGAGTAATATCAGTACTAATATTTGTAATAATAATAATGTTGGAGTGAGTTAAGATAATGCTACTGATAAAGGATAGTTTTAAATGAATCAATAATGATAATAATGAGGAAGAATAATAAGTAAAACGTATAACCATGGTAGATTCAGAGTGACGGTCATCTCCTTTTGTACACAGAGACGTGGTTTATAAACTCGAATAGAGCAAGCCTACTCCTCAGTTGCAAGCATCTTCTTGTTTCTTTGTCTGATGACAATAGCACTGAATGCTTTTACAGCGTCGATATCATGTCCATAGTCCACATGGTGTTTTGTTATTGAGGTTTTTAGCACTTTGCATTCAGGTGTTTTCAACCATTTTGGCAAATACTCCATCATGCGATGAGTAGACAATCGCCTTTCTGTACGACCTATGTATTTGCTTCCAAAAACACACTCAAATTTGTGTGTGTGTGGCTGACAACCCCAGATACTGCATAACTGAGTCCTAGTTAACTGATAATCTTTATGATTACTGTCCTGTTTTTGTTTTTAATATGTTAAAATATGCTAACTCCGCCACCCCTTTCTTACCTGCATTTTATTTTCCACCTTTAAGGCATTACAAGCATTGCAAAGTCATACAGAATTATCACGTTCACGTCTTTATCCAGATCCAAGTAAATTTATGGTTAGCTGTACAGAACCAGATCATGGTGATGTTGACATGCGACAGGAACTTTTTCACCAACAATCAATACCTCAGGTTACACAAGCTTCTTCATCCACTGTTGTCTTTAGAACAACTCATCTAAGTAATATACCGCCAACTGATATTAAACTATCCTTCAGTAATAGTCAGTCAAAAGGTACTCGGTCAACAACAACAGCAACACCATCGACAACTCCAGTAACCATTTCTACTACACTATCTTCTACAGATTCTGCCAAGGTACAGATAGAGTCAACACCAAGTCAAAAATATGTGCCGACAACTTCTGGTGGATTCACATTAGCTGAGGTTAGTTTTACTTAGAAAAGCGAATGATGTATATTTATTTGTTTAGATATTTTGTTGAGTGTATTTTGTTTTGTGATTAGTATTCCCACTTTCTTGTGTATGTGTGTACGTGTGTGTTGAGACGTCGTTCATTGTTTTAAGCAACGGATTTTCAGCCCAATGGGTTTTGGGTTAGAACCCTGCGTCGTCTTTTTTAGCTCTAGGTAACTTGTGAGTAGTATGGTATCATCAGCTGTCACTGAATAAATGTGACTTGTCGCCTAGGATCAGTCCTCTCCGTCCTCCATTGAGAGTGGAAGACATCAAAAGGCTGGCTGGCTAGCTGTCTTTCATTATAGGTGCCTACGTTCAATCTCCCACACAAAAGGTTCACATGGCATTTTTCAACATATGTCATCTTTGACATAGACGCGATATCCAGCTATCTTTTCAATTCAGTTAAACTTCCCATTGGGACATATAGAAAATCATAACAAGTCATTCGGCGAAGAGACTCTTTTTAATGAATTTATTATCAAGCTGTACAATCGTGTATATATGGTTCTTAAGAAGTTATATCCGGTGAGAGAATTGAATCATAGGTGTGAATGCATGAAATATTAATAGTAGTATGAAATGCAATTAAAATTAAAATGTTTGTGATTATAATCATAGTTAATTGTCAAGTGGAAAAACAATTAATGTCATAGATGGAATAATTCATAGGATGAGTAGAACTTGGAATGGGTGTGCAATTATAGGATTAGTAGGCAAGTAGAATCAGATTAACAACGTTATGTAACATTATGTGAAGTTTAACAAAATAGAATTTAACGTTACAAAACAAAAATTGATTTAGAATGACACGTGGGCCTAATGAACTAATGCCGGAGACAGTTCAAAGTGAGAATATTAATAGCAACAACTGACACATAACAAAGGAAGAGTATACGAAATGAATAAACATAACGAAAAATAACTACAGCACAAATATGGATGGGGATTATCATACTTAAGCATAGGTGGATTAAGACAATGGGAGTTGGAGAGGTTGAACAAAGTTTTCCTGCATACAGAGATCTGACTTTTCTATTTCGATGACCAGAGCTGCTTCAGCAATCCAGTTGAGTAGGATACGTAATGATTTGAGCAAATTACTTTTCACCATGTAGATGACTTTAAAGGTGGAGGCTGTAAAGATAGGATGATCATTATTGACCAGGTGTTCAATGGTCGCGCTTCTTATAGCTCCACATCCACCTCTTCGTAACCATACAGGATGGTGTTCTTGCATCCTCTTGGACAAAACCCGAGCCGAACGACCAATACACCTAGTTCCGTACGAGCAGGTGAATTGATAAACGCACGTATGATTGAAATCCCTCACCGGATATAACTTCTTGAAAACCATATATATATATATATAAATATATATATATATATATATATATATATATATATATATATATATATATATATATATATATATATACGAATGTACAGCTTGATAATACATTCGTTGAAAAGAGTCTCTTCTCTGAATCACCACTTGTTTTGATTTCCTGTATCCAGCTATCGATCAAAACATGTGTGTACTGTGCAGTAGTCCTCTCTATCCTCCTTTATGTCTGTGAGACAAAACCATTGAAGGTGGATGATATGAAGACATCAGTTGTATTTGATCACAGATGCTTGGATTCTATTCCATGTGGTATAATATTGTGAGTAATAATAATTTGAGGCGTTAAAGGGCTATGTAGGAAACGGCAATTGAATCGATGAAGCTGGGAAGCTACATCGATTAAGGTGGTTGGGACATGTGTACTGCACAAGCCGAAACACTATTTTCCTCGGAAAGCAACTTTGGCCTGACATAAAGATAATTAAATTGGGAGAGTTAGGGGTGGTCAAACCAAAAGTTGGAATGTCGATAAAAGGACTTTAACCGACGTGGGTTTCAACCAGCCACATTGTTAGGGTCCTCAAAATGCTAGGGATCAATAACTTGATACTGTTGGTGATATTTCGGTGTTAGCTGTCTGCTAGCCAAAATTGTAGACAAATATTTACGTCAATGTTTACGTCGCGAGTCGGGGTCATGACAAAAAAAACAATAACAAAGCTTAACCTAGGTGAACTCAACAACCAGTCACAGCAGACTTAATGTGTGCAAATACGATTCGCAGATATATAGCCTGACTTTCTAAGAAACGGCCACAAAGAGATGACGGAATAACCTTGAGCAAGAAAACAATTAACCAGAAGACGGTGCTTCTCTGCTAACAATATCACTTATACTAATGTACATGAAAATCTATAAATATCTCTTGATTTTCTCAATAAATGATCTGTTACCTGACCCTCGTCTTCTGTCGTAACAATATGACTCAAAACTGTTCTGTCAGTGGTGCAGATGCTCATTCACTCTCTGTGATCTCCATATCCTCTTCTTTAAGATAAGACAATAGCTCTATTCCAAAACAGTACTTGGGATACAGAATGGAATTCCCAGCATTTTACTACAATATTGCATCCAGTTAGTACATTAACAATAAATAAAGTTCTACATAGATTAAGGTTACCTCAGTTGGTTTTGACAAAATATTAGCATGTCGGTAGCAAAGCCAAAATTAAACAGAGTGTTAGAAGGTGTTGGAAAAGTAGGTTCTAGCATATTTACTGGCGTAAACAGAAAGAAAGAAAGAAAGCAGCACATAACAGAAAAAAAGAGAGAGAGAAAGGGAAAAGAAAAAAAGATAACGTTGTACCTATAAACGATAGTTAAGTGTATTGGTGTACGTTTGAGAGCTCTCTGCCAACCGCTACGATGTTTCCTCCTTGGTTTCTTTGGAATATGGAAGTCATTTGGTCGTAGATGATTGATAAAGTTACGAGAGTAATTGATTCTGTTAGAATTCATATTTAGGTGATAAATAAATGTTGGTAAACAGTAGACTGGATGCAAAATGTAGATGTTATAGTAGCTGGCTCAAAAATTCGAACAGGCCGCCAGAATGACCACATTCTTCTTCTTCATATTTCTGCTTACTTTCGTTGTTTTGGATCTCTTTTTTCTCATTTATCCTCCTTTTTGTGCTACGTGGAGTGGGACATCTCGAACTGGTGAACTTCTATGCAAAGTTCCATGTTACTCAGTCAGTCAGTCAGTTATGTACCTGCAATCCTGAATGACTGTGGTAGTGTGTACTTTGTCTTTCAGTTGGCGAATCACAGCTGCTGTTTACAGGCGGCAGGATTACTAATTTTATGAGTTGATCTTCTTCTCTTATCCTTTTGACTTTTATCTCCCTTGTTTTTCTTTTTCTTGATATCTCTAGGCAGAAGTAGCTCTTCAATTTGATGATGACGATGAAGATGATGAAGACATTGAGATACCTCGTTCATCTATACGTCTAAAGAAGAAGAATAGACTGTCATCTAGTTTTTCTAATATTACAGGTTATCTAACACATAGTGGTAGTGAAAATAAATTGATAACTTCAAAAACTGGGTCTATAAATGTTAAAAGTCAAGTGCCAGAAGTTGAATTGATCACATCAAGAATAGTGCCTAAACTGACAACAGCTAATGTCTGTGATTTAGTTCTACTCAGGTAGGCCTTCTGTCTCTTTGTATCTATATGTACATTTTTATTGTATTTGGTTGAATTCCTCACTGTTTCATTTCACCAGAGCCAAAATAATTTGTCTATGTTTGGCGGGTGCTGGGTTCGAGTTCCAGGGGTGGTGGAACACCATTATTCACACTGACGATGTGGGTGAAAGAAATATGCCTTCTTGATTTTAATACTGGTCATCAGTTGTTTGATTTCCCTACCTGGTTTGCCTAGTATGTTCCTGGTATTCATGTGTTGTGTTGTTGTGTTTTTCTGGCCCTGGTCACTTTTAATGATCGCAAAGTTAACAAGAGATAAGAGACAATTTACCTTTGGAATGGTTATCAGCAGTGACAACAAAGCAAAAAAGATGAACGCTTTGTGTGCTGTTCTCCATTGTGGGAGTTGGATTCTTCTCGGGATACTTGGGACAGAAGGAGCATTAGTGGTTGCCTCAACGGAGAACCCATAGAAGAATGGTTTGAAGTTAGTCACATACGGTCTGCTTGGGTCGGTTTCTGGTCTTACTTCCGTCTATGAACCGCCGCAAGATAAGTCTCAATGTTCAATCTTCGGAGTCCGCTTTTTATGGCCCCCCACCACCTACCCAAATCGGTGAAGCACCATAGCTGATTGTCTTGGGAGAAACGCCTTACTGCCGTCACATCTCTGCCCACCAACAGTACGACTTTGCTGACAAACTCCCAACCTAGTGTGGGTGACCCACACCATAATGGGAGGCTACTTTCAGTCTAACCTCCTTCCAGATAACTTCTCTGGGATGCGTACCCCGTTTCGGTTAGAAGTTCCAGGGGAGTTTAACTTTACTGTTGGTTTTTTTTGTCTTACATTTTGTTTTTGTCTACCCCAGTATTTGTGTATTAATTTCGGAGTCAACGTTTTACTTCATTTTTTTTTACTACAAACAGTATGGTCAGTTTACCAACTCAAATGCCTGCATCATTTCATTCCACGTGTACACCGATAGCAGCTGCTGGGACATCAACACAAATACGTCATTTAGCCCGTATGCTTGCTGTCCAATTGAGTGTATGGGCTACTGAAGGTGGGCTGTATGAAGTAGCTGATCGGATAATTGAATTGGAGACTTTGTTAATTCCTGTTGACGATGCAGTTGATGATCGTGGTGGTAGTCAAAGTGAACCACGTACTTCTGAACAAGGCAGTGATATACAAAAAGAATCAATGAAATCTAAAAAACGACGTTTGGTAAGCAACCTCATTTTAACTTACATTTATATAAGGCCCATCAGTTTATAGAACGTCTGTTTGAACAGGTGTGGCAGTTCCTGTCCACTGCGATACAACAGAGGCTTGTTTAACCACTTATTGAAGAGCGTTCTGCAAACAGCTATACAGCTCACGCAATAGATAACTATTGTTCCCTTGGGTTCCAAATGGAACATATTCTGTCCTCTGAGGTGTCGTCTTCATCTGGCTCCACTATTGACCATAGTCTTTCATCTCCTCCATGTCACCATTGAGTGCCCCACTTCGTCGTTTTCCATTCGACACTGGTACTTCGTGTCATTCGACGGTCTCTTCAGCACACTACCCATCCATCTCCGTTTTCTTTCGAGATATTTGTTGAACAATAGGTTCTTGATTGGTTTGTTGGTTCCCAGAGTTTCTTGTTGATGATTCTAACTGGTCATTCCATCTTGAATATGGGGCCAGAGAAGGCAGCTGTGTAGATACTATGGATAATGGCAATATAACATTGACTGGCGCACTTGTTGAAAAGCGAAATCCTTCAGGGTTTTCGGACCGGTTCAGATGGTAGTTAAGTTTTCAGGCCTACAGTTTACTGTATTCCAAAGAAAGTTTTCTGCATTGAATTGCTTTTTGATGAAGGAATAAATAGTGCGAGTTCCAGACAGTAGCTAAATTTTGCTATCCGTAAAACATGCCTTGCACCACCAGCCTGTAATCGTGAAAGCCAATGAGATGTTGTACCACAAGCGTGATCATTGCACAAGTGATTACGTCACATCCTATGTACTACACCAATTTACGTGTATGTGTGTGTGTCTGTGGGGGAAGTAATCTCATGGTGCACGCGGAGACGGAGGAAGATGTCCCTAAATGGTCGCAGAAACAATTGAACGCCTAGTCCCCGATAAATGCAGGTGGCAGACTACCGACATCGTCTACAGAAAGACAGAAGATTGATATCGAAACGCCTTTTAAGATTTTAAATGCAAATGTCACTTGTCGGATTAAGCATTGGGGTCTGGAGTTCGAACTCCGTTCCTGAGTTATTAGTGTTATCAACCCTTACTTATTGCTGAGTGACTGAGTTTTAACTAACTAGCTAACTAACCTATCCACATTTTATGTGGACTGAACTGGTGACGACTAGTGGTGTCCGTCAAGGATGCCCATTATCCCCATTTCTATTCAACTTCATCATAGATGTACTAATGGACTTAACCCTAGGTGACTTCAGTGACTCACGGATTGACTTGCTACCAGGGAATAATCTTGTTGACTTGGAATATGCAGACGATATAGTCCTTCTAGGCGAGGATGCTGACGAAATGCAGAGTCTTCTAAACACCCTGAGCCGCAATCTACGAATGTTTGGCATGCGATTTGCTCCCGCCAAATGCAAGATGATGTTACAGGACTGGACTACATCGACGCCTAGTTTAAAAATAGGAAGTGAAGTGGTAGAGCACGTTGACCGCTTCACTTATTTGGGAAGTGCCATCAGCCAGTGCCAACGGGTTGATCTCTGACGAAATCTCAGCACGAATACAGGGGGCTCGTTTCGCATTTGCCAGTTTACGCCGACTCTGGCGTAGACGAGATGTTCGACTATCGACCAAAGGGCGGGTGTACTGCTCATCAGTCCGCTCCGTGCTCCTTTATGGTTGTGAGACCTGGCCACTGAGGGTGGAAGACATGAAAAGACTAGCTGTCTTTGATCATAGGTGCCTGCGCTCTATTTCCCGTGTAAAGTGGCATAATAAGGTGAGCAACATTGAAGTTGGGCGTAGAGTTCTAGGTAAACAGGGCAAATCAATCGACGAAGTCGTGAAGCTACAAAGACTGAGATGGTTAGGACATGTGTTATTCATACATTCCTAGTCATCGCCTCCCTCGACGAGCAATGTTAGCGGATATAGGGTCAGGCTGGAAAAAGCTAGTGGCGGTCAAACAAAAACATGGCATCAGTCAATGAAATCCACAACAGTTGGTCTAAGCCACGTAGAAAGGTGTAGACTTCCAGGCTGGGGTCCTCAGGACGGTAAAAATCTATGGTTGGAAACAATTGGTGACATGGCTCAAAACCGTTCTCAGTGGCGCAGATGCATCCACTCCTTGTGACTTATGATTTCCAATGAAACTGTTTTGTATTTCTTTATTACTCCTTTGTCTCACACCTCTGCTCACTGTCTGTATTATGCTTTTCTTGTACTTTCTTCTCTTGCTTCGCGTGCTACACGGAGTGTGAAGACTTGAACTTCTGCACATTTGTGCAAAGTTCTATGTCGAAAACAGACAGACAGACATTTTATGTTGACTTAACTAATCTTGTATATGAATAACCTCATGCCTTATGCGTCGATAACATTCAGAGATGACTAGCTGGAGAGATTTAATGCGTAACACTATGTCTTAGTTTGAACTGATTTGGTCATCTCTCTGAACGTGGTCAAATCAGCTGCACTTTCAATGGGCACAACACCCGTTCAGTGTTTGAATTACCTTCGATCTGGTTAGCAAGCAATACTGTTTGATTTTTGAAGGGTTCCCAAGTACTCATACCAATTATTCAGTAGTATATAATATCTCTGTTCAAAGAATTATCTGAATTATTCAATAAGGCTTTCTGGCTAGAATGATTTTGTATTGAATAATTGAACCCAAGAATCACTTGCAGTTTTTCTGCAATTGGCAATGAGCCTCATCTGTTGTGTGAAGGCTGGTGATTTTGCCTCGCTGCCAGAACGTCAGTAGGTGAAGCAGGCTTCGGGTCCGTTACCCAGTTGTTGGAAGTGGAGTGTGTTTAGAGAAATGAGTCACAACTCCAAATGAGCGTTTAGAGAACTACTGTATCCATCTTTTGAAAGACAAACCGTATAACATATGTATAAGAAGTAATTTTATTAGCCCCTGGTACGGCCGAAGGTGGATAGACTTCCATCTTTCTCTCAAAATGCTTTCATAAGACCATGCATTCATAAACTGTGACGGATAGGTCATATTCACTGCCTTCGCATGGTGTGGATGTTCCTCATATAATTGGTGGACATTCAGGTCTACGTATGGGGGGGGGAACTGGAAAACTTTAATTCCAAATCTGCAGTGTAAAAATGAATCCCAGAATCCAAAAGGACCAAATAATGTATGAATCTGTTCTGAGCACGGCACCGACAACCATTGAAGCGTAGCTCCTACTGCTTCTTCACTGCCTTGTGAATCAGAATTCAAGACAAAGGATGACAGCGGGGGGAGGTTGGAGGGTTACTTTTAAGATGGCGATCTACTTCAGTCTAGGCGTCCGGAAAGTATCCCAGCTCTTGTACAAAGTATGTGATTTTCTGTGGCGCATCTCTTGTGGCCCATGATGTACATATACATTTTCTGTTTTAATTATACACGTATTGTCTCTTCCTCTATCTCCTCTTATATTTAATATTCTTTTTATACGAGCATATGTTAAATGATCAGACATCAGATGAAAATGATCCAGAGGCGGAGGATGCTGTGATTCGTGCTAATGCTGCACGTAAAATGCACACTGCACAAACCATGAATATCTCCACCCTAGTTGGATATGGCAAACAACAGCAACAACAAATGATCAATGAATCTTTGGATATAAAAATGCTTCCACCTGGTGTACCTAGTGGTATGACGCCAATGTTCACTGGTCAGAATACCATGTCTTTACCGCCTGAAATGCCACCAAATATGCTGATGATTGGCTTTAATCCTTCTCAACCGCCGCCACCACTATTAATGCCTATGATGATGCCACCGGGTATGATAACACCACCAGCACAAACACCGTCACAAGCATCAGCGGCTGCGACGTCACTACGACAACAGCCAACAGTAATGTCAGGTCAAGCAACACTTGGCAATGTGTCCTTTAATCAGCATACCAGTTCAACTATACCTATGCCTCAGGCGGATTTAATCGGTAGGTTATTGTGTAATATATATATATATATATATATATATATATATATGCATTCCTTTCTGTTCTCAGTGGAATATAGGGGTGGGTTTTCTAGCTCCATGCTCAGCCTTCCATCTTTACTGGGCTTACTACTAGCTAAGCGAGGTTTATAGGACGTCGGTGGCACATCGCTAGGGTGCCTGCCACGCATGTGCTTTGGGGTTCGATACGCGGCCACCGACGCACTCCTTTACCTCGCTAAGTCAGTAATCAGACTGGTAAATTAGGTAAGGTTGGGCATGAGGCTGGATAGCAACCCATCCCATAAAAATAAATACCACTGCTACCGAAACTTCAAAGCTCTGGCTTGATGCCTTATGTCCCACCGGGAACGTAAAGGAATAAAAAAAGGCGAGGTTTGTGCATGTTTCGACAGGGGGATCGAAACCCACTCCATGTGCTTAGTTGGCGAACATCGTATCGCTGAACGACCACCCATGCATCAAACTAACTTTAATTAGAGGACCATAATGAGCCAGGAGGTACTGGAAAGCTGTCTCGTCCTTTTTTGGGACTGTTCATCGGTACACACCCATGACCTCACCAGGGATCGAACACAGGACGTCCAGGTTACGAGGCGAATTTGAATACCAATTAGCTACTGGGAAAAACGGCTGGTATTCCCAGCTGGTCGCCCATGCCAAGTACTAACCGAGTCCAACGTTGCTTTCAGTGATCTGGCGGAAGCCGATATTTTCAACGTGGTATGGTCGTCGATATACATACATATACATATATATATATATATATACATTCTAGATGAGGTTACAATTTTTTATCAGGTTTACACACTGTGACCTTTACCCTTGCTGGCACCTTTTAATTTTAAAATAAAATTCCACTATGTATATTGTCTAAATTAGTAATTTTCAAGTATTGGTTTTGTAGGGAATTTTGTTTGTTTGGTTGGAGGATTTCACCATGAGCTAGCATCAGTTAGAGAACCATTGGAAAACCAACAGGAAGTGCTGAACAGCTCTTTCGTCCCAGTTTGGGACTCTTCATTAGTACGCACCCACTGAAGACCTTCTGGTTACAAGACCGGCAAGCTCGTAGACCATTAAGACACTGGGACCCGATCCAATGTCCCATGAATTCTGCTGTCCAGTACTCCCGTTGGTTTTCCAGTGGTTCTGTAACTCATGTCAGATCATGATGAAATTCTCCAACTAAATTAGTAATCTCCTAATTTTGAAGTTAGACCAAAAACTGCCTCATCAGTTGGAGAACCACTGAAAACTACCACCAGCGTGTACTCTGGACAGCTGTTTCATCCTAATTAGGCGCTACACATATATTATCACGAATTGCCGGATTTTGAAATCATGGGACACTGGATACCGCCACCGTCCCATTGGTTGAATAGGCAACAGGCTCGCCTCGTCGTCACGTGAAGATAATGTACTGGATGACAGTCCTTTGACGTTTAAAACCTTGCATCCAAGGTTTGAGTCTCACTGGGGGAGTATCATCACACACTCAAGATGCAGGCACATCAGATTGATGAGTCCAAAGTAGGACGAAATACCGATCCTGGATTTCGCCTGCTTAATTACTTGCCATCAACCAAAATAAATCGATCATGATAATCTGTCAGCAGGATGATAGAGTCCTGTTGAATAATAAAGCTGAACATATGGAGCGATTTGTGATAACAAGGATGCTGAGAAATGGCATTATTGTGCAGTATCCTTCTTATCATAAACCACCCCATTCTCATTCATCATTATTGTTGATTGAATTATTATTCCCTCGGATTCCGTGTGGAACATAAGGCTTCAGCAGCATATCTGTTCTCTTCCGTCTCTTGTAGCTAGCTCCACGATTTCCTCTATACTACATGTGAGGAGATCGTGTGAGAAGAAAATGAAAGCCTGTGGGAAGTCGTGGAGTCGGCTATTAGTGATGACAGAGAACCTAGTGGATTGAAGCTATGCTGTTGAAGGCCTATTTACCACTCTGAGCGCAAAGGATAAATAATTCTTAACAACTACTATCAGTATTATTATCATAATCATTATAATAATCGATCCAAAACCTAGCTGAATTCCTAGGTCCTTTCTACAACACAAACTCACAGTAGCGTCGGCCAGTTACCCTTATTAGTCTTGTCTTGATTCATCTTGTCCTATTTCATTAGTCACCTCCTGGTCAATAGGCTAATTCGTGATAGCGAATTCGTTATTTGTCTGAAATTGTACATCATTCAGTTTCAGATATCGTATTATGTTGCTACTTAAGTTCTGCTCCAAATATATTGATTATTTCAATGCAGCTGTATAAGATGTAATAGAGAAGATTTGTAGCTCAGGTGGGATGCTATTTATGTGGTTATGTTCTTTGAGCTGGATAGTTAATTTGTGAAGCTTTCATCGCCCTACTAGGCGGCATCTGCAGCGCATACTTCAATTTGAATTGAAGTAGGCTTTTTGATATCTCCACGAGTTTGTTAATCATCTCTCCCGGTGACCTTGAACGTGATTGGTTGCTTTTGTGTGTTTTCACACCTTCTAGGTTACTTGTATTGGAAGTGATTATTTCTTTGACTTGAACTTTGATCCTTTGTGTGTGAGGTTTCTCTCTTATCGGTTGATAAATTTTGTCTGTCTCGATGTGTTGATTAATTGATGTGGAGAAATCTAAAAGCCTACTTCAAATTGAATTATGTGCGCTGAAGACATCGTCTAGTAGGGCGATGAAAGCTTCGCAAATTAACTATCTAGCTCAGAGAACACAACCACACCAAAATCAATGTAGATGTTTCCACAGTCTGTGACATCGTTTATTGAATGACGTGGTATTAGATAGTTGTTGCCACTTTAATTTGAAACTCTTCGGCAATACTCATCCATCACTTTCAAGTGATGAAACTGTGCACCCTACTATTTCAGGACTTGAATTCTAACTTCTGTCAATTTGCGGTACATGGTTCTCTTACTGTCTCCTTCATCCTGATGATATGGTTCACTCCATTGGTTTTCTTTTCATAGATGTAGATCCATTGTTCTAGTTTTCCTTATTATCGATTTCTCTATTATTATGTTTTCTCTGGCTGTCATCCTTTGCTTTCAGTCCCTTCATCTGTCCGACCATTTTCACTCGACGCTGTAACTGCCCCTCTCAGTCGTGATGTTCAACGTCAGCTGGCACGTGATGCATTCATGCGTATTTTAGATGGTTTAGAAGCACCATACACACGTGCTCAACCGGCTGGAGCATATTTAATTAGTGGCCAGTATGATGTCATTCGGATGGATATATTAGTACGGCTTGCAACACGTCGTTTCGGTGGAAATGAATTCTATAATAGTAAGTGATTGTTATTTTAATTATTGATTAAAAAAGCCCATTAAAATTTTTTCAAAAGAATTGATACTGAACAAAGAATGCACTTTTCGATAACTTCATTATCATCAGGCTCTACATTTATACATACATTATAGTGAATGAATGAATTAGTGTTATGAACAACATTAGTGTTTAAATAACATCGAATCAGTAATTTTGATAGATTACAGCTCAATAACATCAACATAAAATAAGCTGAATGTTAAAAACATTAGGAAAGATAATGATACAAATTCATGAATTTATAGTCTTTACTGAAGGCCAGGGCAGTAGTAGGGGCTGGACTTGCTTCTTTTGAACACAGAACACTGGTTGTTTGTGGCGAATTGCAATAGCCTCTGCTGTTTGAAGCATGCAGTGTTTCGATGATTTTGGCAATTTATTAGGCACCCGGTAGATTATAGAGAAGGATTTTTTCACACTGGCTGGCTTTGTGGTCGGTTTGCATCAGATGGTCCAATATCGAACTGTTAGTGGTTTTCACTACACCTTTACTTAGCCATAGTGGGAGATTTTCCAGAGCTAGCACGAAAAACCAAGTTCGTAGAGCAATGGCCGATATATCTCGTTCCACAAGTGCAGTTGGATTGGTAGATACAGTTGGAAGTGGCTAGCTTGTCTAGGTACTTCATCTTTGAGTCGAGGAATCACCATCGGTCGTGTAGAGAATAATACGTGTAGTTCGCCAGCCTTAAAAGTTCTTTGAACTGATTTTCTTAATTTCCTCGTAATTATCTCAATTGGTATATAGCCCTTGAGATGAAGTCGTATATAAAGTGGCTTCTTGTTTACAGATAGTGAGTAGTCCTTTTCCGCTTTCTTTGTCATGTGTTTCTTGATAAATTTGTCGGGATGGCCATTTTCATTTTTCTCATTTTCATTTTTGTTTCATCTTTTAGTCGGGAGTATTAAAGGAGTAAGAATGTTGGTTAATCCGTTTTTATGTATATTTTTAATGTATGCATTTATGAGAGTGTGTGTGTGTGTGTGTGTGTAACACAGCATGAGGAGCAGTAGCCACCATCATCCTCTTTGTCGAACTGAAAAAGCTAATATACGGCGGTTAGGTTAGGGCATAACTTGGATGAATAAACACTCTAGTCATTAAGTTTTGTCTCTCAGATACTGATAATTTGTACAAAAAAATGTCGGGAACACAGTTTCCGTACTTATTGGGATATCTTAAATTAATAATCCTCATTGAGACATGAAAAAAAAGAATTCAGCGTAGAAAATTCTTTTTTTCAGCGATTTCATTTTCTTGGGTGTACAATCGTATATACATATATATGAATTAACTTTAATATTCCTATACTGAGTCATAAGGAATAGACGTAAATGGCGAAGAAAATTTTCTTTTCGACGATTCCAGTTCATAAGCTGTAAAATCATCGTAATTATATTTAGCAAATCAAATCAGATACTGGTAAAAATTGTCCTCGAAAAATGTATCACGTAATGTAAGGTGTAACCTAGATGGGGTGACTGATTAGAAATGGTGAAATGTTTAAGTAATAGAGCACAAAATCTAAGCAGTACCAAGGAAAATCTAAGACAGGAGGTGAGGTATGTAAGAGAAGCTTTGAAACTTAATAATTACCCTGATAAATTAATCAGGAAGTAGGTAGGAAAGTGTAAAAATAAACTTAATAATAATATTGATGACGACATGCATGTCAAACATGCACAGGATAATGACAACACCAACGATCAGGAATCTAAATCATCAGTAGTAATTCCTTACAAGGAAGGAACCTCGGAAACCTTACACAGAATTCTTAACAAGGCAGGAATAAAAGTGGCTGACATTCAAACCACCCACAAAGTCAATTAGAAACAAGCTTTGTCGGTTAAAGGATCATCCTGTGGAGCCTGCGATGACTGTCATGTAAAATAAATAGGTCAAAGTAGTAGAACGGGATCAGTCAGTCAAACTAGAGGAGCACAGAAACCTAGCAAAATCTAGATTAGTTGACCCGAATAAGATAAGACATCTGGAGACTGGTTCAGCTACACTACTCACTACATGTAATTACACACAACCATACAATAGGATGGGAGGGGATCAGATGACAGTTTAAATCTTCATCATTACACACCCACCGCCAGGGGTTCGAACCCAGGACCTTCTGGTTACAAGGCTAGCGATCTCTTAGACCATTGAGTCACTGGGACCCAGTCTAATGGCGAAATGGTCGTGCTATGTTGTGAATTTGCAGAAGTCGGCATTCATACGGTGGCTGTTGAATCTGGTCCTAGTGGCTCAATGGTATGCGAGCTCGCTAGCCTTGTAACCAGAAGGTCCTGGGTTAGTACAGCTGTGGTTGGTGCGTACCACTGAAGAGTCCGAAACTAGGACAACGGAAATAGCTGCCCAGTAGTCCCCTTGGTTTTCAAGTGGTTCTCTAGCTGATGTCAGCTCATGATGAAATCCTCCATACAAATCTAATTACCGTAAATATTTTCTGATTAGTATGACTTTATAGTAGTCATATTTTATGAACTGTGTTATATTCTCAGGTATCGCAAACCAGTGTGATATAATATTCACTCAAATAAAATAAATAGGCAATGCGCCTACTGGTGGTAGTTAGTTTGTGTGCGTCCGATTTTAGTACTCAGTACTCAGATAATATGTATATAAGACATGACAGGAAGATTGCAGATAGTGAATGCATTGATGCCATTAAGAACAGTTCTAGGCGCCTTGAGGGCACACCAACCAGACAATCGACACCTTGCGTGATTGGTTCAAATAAGATGTCGATGACTTCATGGAATGATTCCAGGTTTTCTAACTTGATTCCATATTGGCTAACATTGTCTGTCAAGGAAGAGGCGATTCCTGTTGGCATGTGCAACACATGTCCTAGTCATTTCAATTGACACAGCTTGACAACCTCACTGGTTGAGTCTCCATCACCCCCCTATCTAACACTACGCCTGATCTCTACTATTCAACATAATATGCCACTTAACAGGGGGGACAGACCGCGAACACTTACACTCAGAAGCAACTAGCCTTTTCATATCTTCTACTTCAACTGGTGCACAGTACACACGTCAGCTGATAGATAGCTGGATATTACGTCCACAATATTTTGAAAAATACCACACGAGCCTTTTGTATCCGGGCTGAGATTATAATAACAATCAGTCGGCCAGTCAATCATATGAATATGACCACCTACTTGGTTACTCTGTTACAGAGGTTTAGGTTCAGACAATCAAATTATTTCTCAGAAGCAGCCTCCTTTATCTACCACCCTGGGGAGCATCGTTTCAACTACAAGCGGCGGTACTGACGAGGATGTCGAGGCGATGATCAGGAAAGCAAGGCAAGCTTTCATTAATATGAAGTCTGTGTGGAGGTCAACAGCACTCAGAATCGAAAATAAGATCCGGATTTTTAACTTCAATGTGAAGCCAGTGCTACTTTATGGATCAGAGACTTGGTGTGTCACGAAGAGCACTTCAAAGAAACTTCAGACCTTCATCAACAGTTGTCTTCGCTCAATACTACTCAAGACCAAATGGCCGGTAAGAAAAGATCAGCAATAGTGAAGGAATTTTGGGAGCGAACCAACCAGGAAACGATTGTGCAACAAATATGCAGAAAGAAATGGAGGTGGATTGGCCATGTTCTGAGAAAACAAATCGTCAGGTGACTGAAGTCACACCCCTGGACATCGCTCGAGTGGAATCAGAACGGGAAGCGGCGAGTTGGTCGTCAGTGCGAGGGTGACAATGGAGTAGGTGATGCGAAGAGAGGAGATGAAAGCATGTGGGCAGATATGGAGCCAGGTGAAAACGTTGGCAGAGAACCGAATGTGATGGAGACGTACGACTGAAGCCCTATGCTCCTCTAGGAATAAAAGAAAACAAGAATGATAATAATAATAGCTCATTGTTTAAAGTACTTAACTTTCGACCAATCGGTCCTGGGTTCGAATCCTGTGCTGCCTACTTCTACCTTGGTGTAGTATCGTCATTTTTGTGGACTATAAGTAGGACTCATATCCCCCAAGTTTGTGTCTCACTACATAAGATGTTTTTTTGAAAGTTATGTATAAACATTTCTTTACATAAATAATTCTTTCTCTCTCTCTTTCTAACTGCCGGTATTCTTTCTTTTTTTTTATTATTGTTTTACAATTAACTAGTACTGGTTGATCGTGCTATAAAAAATCTTAGTTACGGTTTCGAATTATTATCAAAATTACTTATGCAAGAGTATTGTCGTTTCCGTGGTTTCCAGTTAGCTGGTTTCAGCAGATTCATGGATTCACGTCGACATCAATTATCTGTGTCAAGAGAAGTAAGATGTAAACGATTGGAATCATCTATAGAAAATGGTTGTAATAATAATAATCCTAATTCATGTGAGAAATTATCAAAAGCCGATGATAATAATAAAAGTATGCTGTCAGATACGAACGGAGATGCTGCCAACACAGACGCCAGTGATAATCATGAGAAGACTACCGAAGAGGATATTAGACGTCAAGATATGTCTACAGATGAAATCTCTCATGGAGGTGAAAAGCACAAGAAGAAGAGTAATAATACTAGTGATAATACGAAGAGGAAACTCTTAGATAACAGTTCAATGAAACCAAAATGCACAGATGATGAGGAACCTAACGAAGAAGAGGAAAGCGACGAAGACGATGCTGTGGCAGACAAAGCAGATGGGGATGAAGAGACGAAGTCATCATTATCCAATTCTTCTTCTTTGAAAGATACTCCTAGAAGACAATCGAAAAAACCAAAGGAGGAGGTTTCAGGAGATTTGAAACTATCTAGTAAGGATAAATTAAGTATTCTGAAGGCACCAGTAGCTCCTCCAGACGACTTGGGCTGCCTATCATTTTATGATTATATATTTATTGAAGTTCTGCAAAAATTATCCAACCCGGAAATACGTCCAAGGTGAGTCATAGTCTATCAATATATTTTTTATTGTTGTTAATTCTTTATATATATTTTTTTATATTAAACTTGTTCGTCGGTGGCACAGCGGTTAGGACTCTCGCCGACCATGCACATGGTCCGGGGTTCGATCCACGGCCACTGACGCACTCCTATACCCCGTTAAGCCAGAAATAAATTTGGTAAAGAGGAAAGGTTGGGCATGAGGCTAGCAACCCCATCCTGTAAAAATAACACCCCTGCAACAGAAACTTTAAGCCACTAGCTTGAAGCCATATGTTCCACTGGGAACGTGAAGGAATAAAAAATAAATTTGACGAACGAAAATACAATTAGTAAGTTCAGATGAATGGGATGTTGATATAAGAGGGTAGTAACAAAAGTGGTGAGTTGTCACAAACGATTGTTAAAGAAGAGTTACGTAATAATGTGAATAGTTTGATGAAAGAGTTGTGCTCAAGGTGTACATGGAAACAAAATAACTTACGGAATTACGTAAGAGTTTTAAGTAGTTAGAAAAAATAAGCAAACAAGCAAAAGTTAAGTCAAATCAACAGAGTTGTTACCATGATAGTAGAAGTAGTTGAATAATTTTCTTTTGTATGTACAGTTCTGGTTCTTTCAACTGAACGGCTAGGGCTTCTGCAATACAAAGAAGACGGAAACGTATTGGCTTTTGGCGTCGGTTGTTCTTCACTTTGTAGATTACTTTGAAAGGGGAGGCGTCTGTTGAGTTGGAATGACCAGTGGTGACGAGATGTCCGATTATTGCACTCCTTATACAGTCACTACTTCCTTTCTGCAGCTGGGTACCAATCATTCGAAAAAGAAACCTTAAGAATAAATTTCTTAGCGGCAACAGTGAGAGTAGTGTTCTCCAGTCGCAGAAGCCCAAAGGACAAGATCCCGCACCTGACCACTTCTGTGTGTATATATCAGTTCACCTGTTGCTGTGGAGCCAGGTACATCGGTCGTTCCATGCGCATACTGTCAAAAAGGATAGAAGAACATTATCCAGCGTGGCTGCAGAAAGGAAGTAGTGGCTGTATAAGGAGTGCAATGATCGAACATCTCGTTACCACTGATCATTCCATCTCAGCAAACGCCTCCCCTTTCAAAGTTATCTACAAAGTGAAGAACAACCGACGCCAAAAGCCAATACGTTTCCGTCTTCTTTTGTATTGCAGAAGCCTTAGCCATTCAGTTGGAAGAACCAGAACTATGCATACATAAAAGAAAATTCTTTATATTTTACTTCTTTTCAATGTTCTTGGGTGGCTGCCTAATAGAATGCTCACCAACAACTCAGACTGATCAATCTCTGCAGGGCAGGACCAATAAAATATATATTCAACGTCATCTATTGTAAAACACATTATAGTAATAGGTCATTAAATTTGATTTAAATATTATAAAACACTTTTGGGTCAATTCAACCCTAGTTATTATGATCTTAGCTGCATGAAGTCTTTTTAACTACAACAGCGTTCAATCTTTGTCTAGTTGTTAAGCTGCTATGATCACCCACATAGGATAGCTTGATGTACATGTGTCTTTCTTAGTGGCGAGTTGGAGAGTAGGTCTTGGTGTTCTGATTACTTTATATCTCTTTATGAACTTGTCTGGATTATTGTTATTATTATTTATTATTATCAACTAGAGTTTGTGTTAACTTTCTTCCTCATCAAGTTAGTCTACCGTGCATATTTGTTGGATTTTAATGAAGAGGTAACTTACTAAGGCTCTTTTGTACCAAACAAGGCAGAAACTGTGACAATTAAGATACTTTCGAGTATTGGTTTTGTAGAGATTGTATTTGATTGGTTGAAGAGTTTCATCGTGAGCTGATATCAGTTAGAAAACTAGCGACTGGCACTATTCAGGCAGTTGGAATTATGCAAGCGTCCAATCAGAAGCAGGAACAATTGCATGTCAACGACTTGTTAATAACGCGATAATAACTTGACTGAGTCATGATAATGACCTGATAATTGCATGTGTTTTGCCTCTTCCTAACACCTCCCCTTTTAAGATAGGGCTACCGGTAGCTTTTGTATCGCGGAATCCCTTGTAGGTACTTTGGCGGTTTCGGTTGTCGTTGTGATCTCCTTGGCTGCTGGGACACTTTGCCTTTGTTTCGACTATTTTGGCCATGTGACGTTTTCGGATCCGTCGTATCTATCAATAGCTCAAATTGTACGTCGGCGGACTTGGAATTGTTCAACTGTCTACCAACTAGTCTATTTGTTATTTGATTGGCATGTCTGACCCAAATAAGGTCTCCAACCTTGACCTTGTAAATGACTTGGCCTATTCTTCCAACGATCACTCCAGAAACCCATGGGCGATCTCTCCGTATGTAATCACGAACCAGTACCGGCTGACCAACCATGAAACTTCTTCGCTTGGTGCTATGACGTCTATTGACCCAAAATTCACTATTTCTACCACATTTGTTCCGTCTTGATGGGATCAGGATAATTGTATCCAAAGTAGTACGTGATTTTCTTCCAAACATAACTTCTGCGGGAGATGTTTGATTTGGGCATGATGGGTTGGTTGTGGTTCGATAAATGAAGAGGAAATTGTGCAATACATCCTCTATCGATCCCTCCCCGTTCGACTTCTGAAGTGCGCGCTTGAGTGTATCAACAAAACGCTCTGCTTGTCCATTTGACTGATGATGGTAAGGCGGGCTGCGAATATGCTGGACACCTAGCCGCTCACAAAACTGTTTGAATTGTTCAGCTGCAAACTGAGGTTCGTTATCGGAAACGATGATCTCTGGGACACGAAATCTGCTGAAAAGCTGAACCAACTTCTTTAATGTTATCGTCACTGTGGTATTTTGCATAATGAAAACCTCCGGCCACTTGGAATATTTTTTTATTACCACGAGGAACTGTTTGCCATTGATTGGGCCGGCAACATCTATGTGGATTCTTGACCACGGTTTTCCTGGGTTGGGCCACGGCTGTAGGTCTGTCTTGATAGGCATTTTCAAAGCCTGAGCACAGCGAGAACATGAGCGAACCATCACTTCTAATTCACGATCGATATTTGGCCAGTAGACGTAACAGCGTGCCAACGATTTCATACGGCCAATACCAGGATGCGTAAAATGTAGTTGACTCATGACTTTTTGTTGGAGACTTCGAGGCACGACCACACGTTCGCCAAACATAATGCAGTCATTGACCAGGGATAACGAATGTCGTCGTTGATAGAACTGTTTTAAATCTGGACAATCAATACGCGAGGGCCAGCCACAACGCAGATACTGTTGAACTGACTGTAATGTCGGGTCACGCTGCGTCTCTCGTTGAACCATGTCGGCTGAGACAGGTAAAGTGTTTATTGCCGTCATCAATACGTGGCACACGTCTTCATCGACAGAAACGCCGGCGATCACAGCGTCCTCCTTTGCGGGCTTGTTATAGCTGAGTAAACGCGAGAGGACATCTGCATTCCCGAAATCTTTTGTAGATTTGTACTTGATCTGAAAGTCGTATCCTAGTAGCATAGTCGCCCATCGTTGGAGTCGATTGGCTGTATAGACTGGAATACCTTTCTTGGAGCCAAAAATCGATAATAGTGGTTTGTGATCAGTAAAAAGTGTGAACTTTCGGCCAAGCAGCATTTTGTGGAACTTTTGAATCCCAAACACGAGCGCTAATCCTTCCTTTTCGACCTGACTGTAATTCTGCTCTACCTTTGTCAAGGTTCGCGATGCATATGCTATTGGCTTTTCAACACCGTCTGGAAACACATGTGAAATGACAGCGCCAATACCATAGTTGGACGCATCTGCAGCTAATGTTATATCCAGCTTTGGATTGTAATGTGTTAACAGCAGGTCAGACTGGAGTAATTTCTTGACCTTGATGAAAGCTTGTTGGCATTCTTCTGACCAGTTCCATTTAGCATTCTTCATGAGCAACTGATTCATTGGGGCCCTGAGACGATGTAAATCTGGCAGGAACGCACTATAGTAACTGATCATCCCCAGGAAGGACTGCAACGTACTGAGATTATTAGGGGCAGGCATCTGTTGAATTGCTGACACACTGGAGGGGTCGGGTTTGCGACCATCTTTGTCAAAAATGAATCCCAGGTACTTCACTGAAGTCATGAAAAAATTGCACTTATCCGGACGTAAATGGAAACCGGAATCACTGAGTATTGTCAGGACTTTATCCAACCGATTGAAGAGTTCGAATTGAGTTTCTCCTGTGACTATGATATCATCGAGGTAAACGGCCACTCCCGATACACCAGCTAATATTGCATCCATTATCTGTTGGAATATAGCAGGAGCAGGTTTAACACCATATGGAAGTCGCTGGAACTGATACAGTCCTTTGTGAGTGTTGATTGTCAGAAGCTCTTTAGAATCATCTTCGACCTCGATCTGTAGGTATGCCTCAGCTAGATCAAGTTTACTGAAGTATTTACCGCCATTCAGTTTGACAAATAGATCTTGCGGTACTGGTAGTGGATACGGTTGATCTTCAAGGGCATTATTGAGTCCTGTTGAGAAATCAGCACAAAGTCTGATGGTACCGTTTGCTTTCTTGACAACCACTATGGGGGCTGCCCAGGATGAGTAATCGACTGGCTTGATTACGTTCAACTTTTCTAAACGATCCAGCTCTGCATCAAGGGACGATAATGCGGCATACGGTACTGGGCGTTTTGGTCTAAAAACTGGTTTGGCATCAGGTTTGAGGTATAGTCTGGCTTTTTGTACGGTACAGCAACCCAAAGACTCTTGAAAAACGGCAGCGTGTTTGGTGCGAAGATGACTGATGAACTTTGCGGTCGAGTTCGGATGCATCAACATGTTGGTAGGACTATCTGAGCACTGTACATTGGAACAAACTGAGTTCAGTGGGACATCCCAGAGTTTCATCTTTTCGATCCAGTCAATACCAAGCAAGTTCAAATCATGACGATTGGTGATGTAGCATGTTCCTTGGAACGAGGTCGACCGGAAAGTTACGTCGCATTCAATCTGGCCAGATAATTTCATTACGTCACCCGACGCGTTTCTTGCAGTATGCTCCGTTCTCTGATAAGGTGGACACCCGAGTGCCCGCCACGTCTGGGGAGATATGATTGTGATATCAGAAGCAGTATCTAACTGTAGTCGAACTGGCTTCTGGTTGATAGAAAGTGTGACAAACTTTCTTTTTGACTCGAAGTCAACTTTGAAGGTAGCGAACATACTGCTGATTTGAGGTTTCGTCGACCGAGATCGAAACTTTCGTGACTGTGCCATCGTATTGTGAGATCGGATTGATCTAGGTTTCACTGGGGGACAAAATCCTTCCTTGTGACCATACTTGTTACAGATACTGCATTTATGTCTTTTATACGGGCAAAATTTACCAAAATGCCACGATCCACAAAACCAACAATTTGTGGGAGGCTTGTGTTTGACTTGCAGAGAATTGTTTGACTTGACAGCCTGAACAGAAGTAAATTCATGAACTTGACCGTCCTCAATCAACTTCGTGTCATGCTTTAGATTGATGATTCGCTGGCACTCAGCAGTTACCTCCTGTAAAGTCATGTCCGGTTTGCGTTCAATCTCTGCAAGGATTCGGGTACGAATATCACTGTCAACTGAAGATTTGAGACCGCAGACAAAGATCAGGCATTTAAACTGGTCATCCGTAAGTGATCGAATTTTCGATCGCTCGCATTCACGATTCACCTTACCAGCATAGGTGAGAATATCATCTCCTGGATCTTTGGATATCTTGAAACAATTGTAACGGATACTGAAGAGAGATAACTGTTCACCGAAAATATTGGTTAACGTTTGAACGGTTTCTTCAAAGTTGAGTTCTCTGGAGTTCTTTGGTAGGATATGTTTTTTTTTTTTTTTTTTTTTTTTTTGACCAAGTTTCCGAAGGAGTAGTCTCACTTTGGCCGAATCATCTAGGTGAGCGCATTCAACCCGGAACAGATCTTCATAACGTCGAAACCAAGCTTCAAACGTCACGCCTGTTGAAGGTTCGAAATTGAACTCTTTTTTTTTTTACCAAATAGATTCGGTTTTCTCTGAGTTGGAACTGCCGAGATTTTGAATTGAAAACTGCTTTGTAAGTTTTTCAATCAAGCTGAGCTGGCAAGCTTCAAACTGTTGCTGTTGTTGATGAAGGAGAAGTTGCATTTGTTCAAATGAAATTGTCATTTGGAAGACAGGCTGGATGTACACTGGATGATCTGGGTTTTATTTGACTGTATTGAACTGCAATGGATTCGAAACCCCGTCGCCAATTGTTATGATGCTAGATCTTTGTCACGAGGTCACTGCTTAACTACTGACCAGTGCCCACTTAACTGGTAAAGCAGAACACGCGAGAATCAGCGGTAAAACCAGGTTCATTTATTATGACAAAAGTGACTGTATTTATACAGAAAATAAGGTAGACTGGAAATCAACCAATCCGGTTGAGAGTTGGAATTGTGCAAGCGTCCAATCAGAAGCAGGAACAATTGCATGTCAACGACTTGTTAATAACGCGATAATAACTTGACTGAGACATGATAATGACCTGATAACTGCATGTGTTTTGCCTCTTCCTAAGAGAAGCCATTGCGAAATGACCGCGCTGTGTGATGAATTGGCAGAAGTTAGATTTCATAGAGTGGGCATTGGATCGGTGCCAGTGGCTCAACTGTCGACGAACTCGTCTTGTTACTTGAGCATCCTGGGTTCGAACCTCCTGTGTTGGGTGCGTAGTGATGGCGAGTTCCAAACTAGGACGAAACAGCTATCCAGTACTTCTTGGTGGTTTTCTTATCGTTCGATAACTGATGTGAGCTCATGACGAAATCCTCCAACCAATTAAGATACTGTCCTGTACAGTTAGGTTTTCTATGAATAGATCGTTTTATTGATCCGTCAAGTGTTCGAGTAAGGAATATATGTAAGAAGAATCAGTAGTTATCTTCCTCTTCTACAGTCGTAAGTGTTATACTATTCTGAGCTTCATTCATTCAATTTAAAATTGAGGTTGGTGATCATAGCAGCTTAACAACTAGACAAAGATTGAACCTTAGTCATAAAAGTTAATTGATGGAAGGGTGATGAACATCATCACTCACTGGAATGCAGGTACATCCAGTTTACGAGTTCCAAACAGGACAAAAAACGCATCTTGCATATACTGCTAATCCCCTTTCACTAATTAACTTCTAATTACGTGCTCAGACATCGTCGATGCATATGCACAAGAAGCCGACTTGTCAACCTGAGACCGAACACTTTGGTTCAATCAATTGATGGGAAAATCTTAAATTGAATTAAATAATTAGTTATAAAAGGCTTAACCCTGTTTTGGGTTCATTGATGATTTGTTATTACTCTGAACCTGCCTTGGTTAGCCTTAGCCCATTTTGAAAACCAGTCTTCATTTTACTGAATAATATTTTCACCCTCCCCCCTCTGTTTTCTTTCCTCATTTTTCTACCTCTTATCTGTGATTATAACTCGTAAACATTTTGACCTATATTGATGAAAATTGTGATTCTTTGTTGCTCTGTTGCCTCTTAAGCAAACATGTGTATGTGTGACAAGTATGTGCGTGCTTGCGTGCGTGGTCAGAATGTTGCACAAATACACATTCCACACTTCAGATATGTTACGTCTTAGGCAACCGCCTACACACTTCCATAAGCACACAAAGCTCTTTATAATCCCAAAATTTGAAAGGTTTCACAGAATTTGGAAGATGACATCTGCAGAACTGTGGTGAAAGGACGCTAAATGATGTCATCCATATCACATCCTAAGTCGATTCTCTTCTTCTGGTTTAATTGATTGAACTGAAATGTCCGACTTATGTTGTGACATATCGCCTCTTAGCTAGTACGGACACAAGGCTGACTGGTTTCAACATAGAACTTTGCACCGTTGTGCAGCAGTTTGATTCGCCACACTCTCTCCTTGTAGCACACAAAGCAAGAGAAGAAAGTAAAAAGAAATGCAAAATAGAGATAATAAACAGAGATATGAGGCAAAAAGAATAGTAATTTCGAAGAACACTATAGTTTTATTGGATATTATAAGTCACAAGGAGTGGATGCATCTTCACCAACCATGGAGACCGATGATTTTGAGCCAGCCATATCACTAGTTGTCTTCAGCCTTCATTGGTTTTTACCGTCCCGAACCCTAACCCCAACCATTCAGGAAGTTTACACCTTCCTACGTGTGTGGTGTAAATTAGCTGTTATGGATTTCACTGACTGATGAAGCCATGCTGGTTTTGGTTTGACCACCATCACTGGCTCTTTTCCAACCTGAGAGGTCCTATGTTAGACAGCTAACGTTGTCCCTCGAGGAAGTCGATCGATGGCTAGGGGTGCATGTGTAACACATGTTCCAACCATCTCAATCGGTGTAGCTTCACAGCCTCGTCGACACACAAGAGATAACTCTTTTGGTGTAATTGGTCCAATGGTTAAGGCTTCGACGTTTTAAACGATGGATATTTGGTTGGGTCTTGACTTTGAGTGTCAACAAGGACACCAACAAATCACTGGGAATGTAAGAATGTTCAGTTGACCGGTCCTGAGTAGGACGAAATGCGCATTCTTGGATTCCACTGCAAGTCAGCATCCATCATATAATATCATCTCCACTCGTTGGTTGGTTCTTAGTATCATTCCGTTTTCTGTGATATAATTGTCGTATTACCTCTTGCATAACAGTATATTTATTTGTTTTGTTTTCCTTTTTTTCTTATTTGTTTATAACTATTTTGGTAGATTTCTAACGGAAGCACCTTTAATAACCCGTGGTGCAATCAATGAATTAAAACGGTATTGTTCAAAACCGGAACAAGCAACTTATGGCTTTGAGGTTAGTTGTCTTATGACTTTTATGTTATATTTTTGTTTCGTTTTGTAAGTGTTTAGTTGATGCGCTGAAAAATGTGCGAATACTCTAACACGCGCACTCAAACACACAGTTCTGATGGACTAATTGTTAACGCAATCTCAGCGTGGATACAACAAGGTCGTGTGGCATATACTAACTGATGTTATATGTGGCGTAGACACGACATTTGGCTATCGATTGAAGGAAATGTGTTCGCTCTGTCCATCTTTATGACTGCGAGACATAGACATTGGAAGTAGGAGACGTAGAGAGGCTAGCTGTCTTCCATCATAAGTGTCTGCGTTCTATCTCCTATGTTAAGCGGTATAATAGGTTGTGAAGTTACATCGATTGAAATGTTTAGGAAATGTGTTAAGCATCCCTAGCCGTCGATCGCCTTCGTCTATGGGCAATGTTAGCTGACATAGATAGGATGAGGTTGTAAAAGAGCTACTGGTGGTTGAATCAAAATTCAGAATCAGTCCATGAAATCTTCGACAGCTCGTTTGAGTGATGTAGAGAGGTACAGACTACTTAGTTGGGGTCCTCGGGATGTTAAAAACCGATGGTTGGCACTCAACCTTTGCGATCTACAATCTCCCTCACATTTCTCCTTCTTCTTTTGAATCTCTTTTCTCTCACCCTTATGTGTTACATGGAATGTGTCAACTTGAACTGCTGTACTACTTTTGTGAAAAGTTGTTTGTTGAAACGGGTCAGTCAGTGTTTAGAAGATTCTAAGCAGAAAAAAAATGTTATTTTATAACTCAATAAAATACTGAGAATATCAACAATTATACCTAAGATTTAGCTGTAGTAACATATTCACTTTCCAGTCAGGAAGGCTTCGTGTGCTTTTGAAACTGTGTGGGCGGTTGTTACTTGCTGGCTGCCCCCTCAAAATTTCAGATGATGCTACAGGACTGGACTACATTGACTTAGAAATAAGCAGAATTGAAATGGTAGAGCGCGTTGACCACTTCAGCCAGTGCCAACAGGTTGATCTCTGACGAAATCTCACCACAGATACAGAAGGCTAGTTTCGCATATGCCAGTTTACGCCGTCTCTGGATTAGTAAACGCGGTATACGGTTGGCTATCGACCAAATGGCTTGTGTACTGCTCAGCAGTTCGCTCCGTCCTCCTTTATGGCTGTCAGTGAGACATGGCCATTGATAGTGGAAGATATGGAAGAGAAGGCTAGCTGTCCTTGATGATAGGTGTCTGCGTTCAATCTCCCGTGTCAGGTGGTGGTATAATAGGGTGAGCAATATTGATGTAAGGCAACGGTCGAGTCACACAGTGTGCTTGTTATGCAGTAATATTAACTGATGACCACACGCTTCGAGCACAATTTATTGCTATTCATAATCATATCAAGTCAATCACACAAGCAAACAGATGATGTAGCAATGGGATGGATCACCAATATCCCCTATCGTAACAGATATTTTTATAGACAGCTGGGAAAATATTGCTCTAAATACATTTAATCCTACTCCAAAAAATAAGGTGGAGATATGTGGATGACACTTTCATAGTGATAAAAATGGAACATATATCTAGCTTCTTCACGCACACATAAGTAAAGGGAATACAATTTACATTTGAATTGAATTTTGAACAAGGAGAATTAGCCATGATGTTAGATTGTAAAATAAAGCGAACAGAAGAAGGTAAACTGTACACCAGCGTTTATAAGACACCAACATATTCTAGTAGGTATCTGGACTTTAATTCATCTCATCCGTTGTCTGTAAAGGTTGCCTTAGTTAAGTATCAAACATACTGAGCAGTAGTACTAAGTAGTACAACGAAAAACCTAAATGATGAAGTGAAACAAAGAGAAGAGGCGTTGGTGTTAAATAACTAAACTATCCTATAAAATTCATTAGAAAGATCCAAACAGGTCAAAAGCTAAACAAAAAATTGTGATGAAACTAATAATGATAACATAATTGAGAAAGAATATAAGACATCTGCTGTTATGCCATACAAGTTGGGCACATCTGAGACCCTCTCTACGTAGGATTCTTAATAAAGCAGGGATTACAGCGCCGTTCAGACCTACAAACTCACTCATGTAGGACAAGATCTGTGGGCTAAAAGACCCGGTGGACCCAACTAAACAAAGTAATATAATTTACAAAATACCTTGCAATGACTGTGAGTTAAGTCAACCACATAGGTCAAACTAGTAGATCAGGCAGCTGTAGTGAGATTATCAGATCATAAGAATTTAGCTAAGGTTAGATTGATTGATCCCACGAAGATAAGTAATTTAGAAAAAAAGTTCAGCGATCGCACTACATGCATTAACACACAATAGAGTGAGAGAGGGTTAAACTTTTAAGAAGTAATATAGGTAGATGGAGAGAGAGAGAGAGATTGATTACTGAATCCTGGTTCATCGAGTCTACACACTACACAAGACATGCAATAGAAGTGTCTCAACGCAAATACCAGAGATATATATGGAAGATATACGGTTGGCTATCGACCAAATGGCTTGTGTACTGCTCAGCAGTTCGCTCCGTCCTCCTTTATGGCTGTCAGTGAGACATGGCCATTGATAGTGGAAGATATGGAAGAGAAGGCTAGCTGTCCTTGATGATAGGTGTCTGCGTTCAATCTCCCGTGTCAGGTGGTGGTATAATAGGGTGAGCAATATTGATGTAAGGCAACGGTCGAGTGCTGGGTAGGTAGGGAGGGCAAATCAATAGACGACGCTGTGAATCAGCCGCATGTATTGAGATGGTCAGGAAATGTGTTACACATGCATGCCTAGTCATCGCCTTCCTCGACAATGAGCAATGTTAGTTGACATAGGGTCAGGCTGGAAAAGAGCTAGCGGTGGCCAAACCAAAACATGGCTTCATCAGTCAATGAAATCCACAACAGTTAGTTTAAGTCAGCCACGTAGGAAGGTGTAGACTTCCTGGTTGGGGTCCTCGGGACGGTGAAATCCAATGAAGGCTGGAAACAACTGTTGATACAGCTCAAAATCGTTCTCAATGGCTGGTGTAGATGCATCCCCTCCTTGTGACTAGTAATATCCAATAAAACTTGGGGCACTGTGGTAGAGTATAATTCCTTTATGGATAAGATTTTATTTTGATAAAGTCACACAGTGTGCTTGTTATGCAGTAATATTAACTGATGACCACACGCTTCGAGCACAATTTATTGCTATTCATAATCATATCAAGTCAATCACACAAGCAAACAGATGATGTAGCAATGGGATGGATCACCAATATCCCCTATCGTAACAGATATTTTTATAGACAGCTGGGAAAATATTGCTCTAAATACATTTAATCCTACTCCAAAAAATAAGGTGGAGATATGTGGATGACACTTTCATAGTGATAAAAATGGAACATATATCTAGCTTCTTCACGCACACATAAGTAAAGGGAATACAATTTACATTTGAATTGAATTTTGAACAAGGAGAATTAGCCATGATGTTAGATTGTAAAATAAAGCGAACAGAAGAAGGTAAACTGTACACCAGCGTTTATAAGACACCAACATATTCTAGTAGGTATCTGGACTTTAATTCATCTCATCCGTTGTCTGTAAAGGTTGCCTTAGTTAAGTATCAAACATACTGAGCAGTAGTACTAAGTAGTACAACGAAAAACCTAAATGATGAAGTGAAACAAAGAGAAGAGGCGTTGGTGTTAAATAACTAAACTATCCTATAAAATTCATTAGAAAGATCCAAACAGGTCAAAAGCTAAACAAAAAATTGTGATGAAACTAATAATGATAACATAATTGAGAAAGAATATAAGACATCTGCTGTTATGCCATACAAGTTGGGCACATCTGAGACCCTCTCTACGTAGGATTCTTAATAAAGCAGGGATTACAGCGCCGTTCAGACCTACAAACTCACTCATGTAGGACAAGATCTGTGGGCTAAAAGACCCGGTGGACCCAACTAAACAAAGTAATATAATTTACAAAATACCTTGCAATGACTGTGAGTTAAGTCAACCACATAGGTCAAACTAGTAGATCAGGCAGCTGTAGTGAGATTATCAGATCATAAGAATTTAGCTAAGGTTAGATTGATTGATCCCACGAAGATAAGTAATTTAGAAAAAAAGTTCAGCGATCGCACTACATGCATTAACACACAATAGAGTGAGAGAGGGTTAAACTTTTAAGAAGTAATATAGGTAGATGGAGAGAGAGAGAGAGATTGATTACTGAATCCTGGTTCATCGAGTCTACACACTACAAAAGACATGCAATAGAAGTGTCTCAACGCAAATACCAGAGATATATATGGAAGATATACGGTTGGCTATCGACCAAATGGCTTGTGTACTGCTCAGCAGTTCGCTCCGTCCTCCTTTATGGCTGTCAGTGAGACATGGCCATTGATAGTGGAAGATATGGAAGAGAAGGCTAGCTGTCCTTGATGATAGGTGTCTGCGTTCAATCTCCCGTGTCAGGTGGTGGTATAATAGGGTGAGCAATATTGATGTAAGGCAACGGTCGAGTGCTGGGTAGGTAGGGAGGGCAAATCAATAGACGACGCTGTGAATCAGCCGCATGTATTGAGATGGTCAGGAAATGTGTTACACATGCATGCCTAGTCATCGCCTTCCTCGACAATGAGCAATGTTAGTTGACATAGGGTCAGGCTGGAAAAGAGCTAGCGGTGGCCAAACCAAAACATGGCTTCATCAGTCAATGAAATCCACAACAGTTAGTTTAAGTCAGCCACGTAGGAAGGTGTAGACTTCCTGGTTGGGGTCCTCGGGACGGTGAAATCCAATGAAGGCTGGAAACAACTGTTGATACAGCTCAAAATCGTTCTCAATGGCTGGTGTAGATGCATCCCCTCCTTGTGACTAGTAATATCCAATAAAACTTGGGGCACTGTGGTAGAGTATAATTCCTTTATGGATAAGATTTTATTTTGATAAAGTCACACAGTGTGCTTGTTATGCAGTAATATT